ATGTGGAGGCTTTTATGTCTCAGTACGTTACAGTATGAGGGCGGCTGTGGCTCAGGAGGTAGAGCAGGTTGTTTAGGGAAGGTCGGTGGTTCGATCCCCAGCTCCTCCAGTCCACATGTTGAAGTTTCCGCAGGCATGATACTGAACCTCAAATTTCCCCAGATGTATAATCAGTGTGTGACTGTGTGTGTGATACAAAAACACTGAATACATAGAGAAACTGCTGTATGAATGTGTGCGTGAATTGGTGAAAATAGCGGTAGAAGTGGTAGTAGAAAAGCACTAGCTTATACAAGTGCAGTCCATTTACTATATGACAGCTCTCTCCAACGTTTAAAAATACCCCTCCCAACACCTCTAAAGCTCACATATTGACACATTATATTCTGCTCGTTTAATCCAGACACAAACAGAAATGTAAAAGCGAAAAGTTGTTTTATGCTTTTATGGGGAGTTATGTCTCTGGCCCAGCTGTTGGTCGTAAACAAATAGTTACTTCACATTACTTCTGATAAAACCTCAAATAGTTTTTCACTTTTACACTGTATGATTATGTTTGTTTGACACAAGATGCAGTGAGTTAATATAAGGTATTTTATGCTTTCTGGTTTAGTGTTCAGTCTAGCTAGTCTTGTAGCTGTAGCTTTATACTTAACGCACAAACATTGGTCTCCATCTTCTCACTGAACTCTCATCAAGAAAGTGAATAAGTGTATTTCAAAAAATGTCACACTATTCTTTTAACCTGCACAGGACTGTCTCTATGGAAACTGTGGCCGTTTTATGGCCTGAACAGATAGAACCGTTTTCCACTTAAATTATCCCTTACACTATTATTATTCTTCATAATTTTCACTTGAGGATTTTTATCCCTAACATGGTGAAATGTGGGGAACCCCTGGTCTGATTTTTGATGTAACTGGAAAGAATGATATGTTTTGGCATTCTGCTCTTTTCTTAATTTTACACTGATTTGTCTGATGGGGAAACTGAAAACGGCAGGTAATAATTGCTCCGACTCCAGCCACGTTTTAATTAAACTTGGAAATATGATGTAGCTTGTTGTTGCCCGAAGGGGTACCTGCATCTGTGGGGGATAACACATGTATGTGTCAGCTGCTGTACTGTTGAAGTGACGTGGTGAGTACGGCAGATTTAATCTAATATCTGATTTTATGGCTTGCACTCTTTTGGTCCTTGTTGGCAGCAGAGTACAGGGGAGTTTAACAGATGTTTTGGGTTCTGATTGGTGTGTTTTCATTACAGAGAACGTGCATACCCTTCAGGGAAAGCCATGTGTGAGCGACTCAAAGACTCCATACCGAGGCAGATGTTTGAGATAGCTGTGCAGGCAGCTATTGGAAGTAAGATCATCGCAAGGGAGACGTAAGTACAACATCTGGAATGACCTTTGTTAGAGTGGTATGGGGTGCAAAACCATACATAACACACTTTTGAATTGTCTTTGTGTATGAAATGTGCTAAATGGATTAACTTGCCTTGAAAATTGTGAATTGACGGTGTTTGCCTCTTTCAGAATAAAGGCGTTCAGAAAGAATGTTCTCGCTAAATGTGTAAGTAAAGATTTTTCCTAATTTGAAAAAAACTGTTGAATCTACAAATGGACTGCAAACTCTGAATTATTATGTTTGTTTTTTTTCCTTGGTAGTACGGAGGTGACATAACACGCAAGATGAAGCTGCTGAAGAGACAGGCAGAGGGCAAAAAGAAGATGAGGCGTATCGGCAACGTGGAAGTTCCCAAAGACGCCTTCATTAATGTTCTGAAGAGAAAAGAAAAATAGACTGTAATACTATTAGTATCTTATTATGTAATGATATTGTTATTCTATAGAACAGGTCTTTGTTTGTGAAAGGCCTTACTGAATAAAGCTGTCATTGGTCCTGATATGTCTATGTCATCACTTTCTCTCTCTCTGACATTTAATGGATAATTTGCCAGGAGAAGAATTACATGTTGTTCAAAATTTTACAAAAGAATCAAAAACCATTCATTCATTTATCCTCAATTATTGGAACGTTTTATTAATACTTCTGTTCATGGTGGCAATTTCCATCAATCATCCAATGAAATGTCTGTGAAGATTCTCAGTCATCCGAGTTGTTCATGGTTCTCCAAGAAAAGCTGAATCGAGGGCAACTGGACTTGGTACTAGCCACTAAAAACGTTTCACCTCTCATCCAAGAGGCTTCTCCAGGTTGTTGATTCAACTTTTCTTTTACATTCAGTGGAACAGTTGTTTTTTAACAGTGTGACAAGTCTGAGGTGCTGGCAGTCTGCACAAACAGAAGTTACTAGGTATCTAACTAAAGAATGTTAACTTTCATTTTATATCCAAAAAATGATGATGTAGCACTCAAACGAGCTGCATTTTGGGCATCATGTTGCCTTTAAGTTCACAGTACACACTGCATGTTATACACATATACATAAGAACTGTATATATACTTTGATTAGGAAGGTCAAAGGCTGAAAAACAAGTCAAGAAAGAAACTTACTTGTTTTGTGTGGCCAACACTCCAAAACCCCAAAAGGTATTCACTTTAAAGTGCCAGCTATCAAATGTTCAGGATTACATACATGGTCCAAAGTTAGTGGTATACTTACATAACCAAAGTGAATATGAGGCTTCAGTAGTCTTGAGTCAGACAAATCTTTCAAAGTTTGTGTTTTTAGTACAGCACTGAGGCACAGCAGAGGAGTGGCAACACGAAGTGGGAATTTGGTGCCAAAAAAGACTCTTTGGAAGATACCAATTGGATATGATAATAGCCTCATAGCTTAGCTTCATCTGAACCTCAGTGAAGAATGTGTTTTCACACAGAATGAGGATTGTGGATTTGGTCGGCCATCACAAACATACAAATCATCTTATCTCGTCGAGGCCAGTATAGACAGCAAGAAGGATTACAACAGCCAATAACACTTTCAGCATACATATGGACATGTGAATATTGTTTTAAGACAGATTTGAAAAACTGTGGTCCTGTCCTTTAATTCCTGCTAGCTCCTCACTGGTTGCTGACTCTGACCTTTGAAAGATACAAAGATACCAGAGAGAAAACAGGATTAACATGCAAATATCTGTTGGTGTTTCCAAGTGTTCGTCTGTCCTTTACAAAGTTTTCCCAGTAGATGGCAGCAGCAGCTTAAACACACAACAGAGCTGTGTGGAAGTCAATTCCACCCTGAGCTAATTTCCAATCAGACCTCATCAGCCTCAGGCCCTATAAATGTCAGGTTTAAATCATATAAAACTCTAGACAGACCACTTATCCTCTGCTCAGCAGTTGGAGTTGCTTGATGAAAATATCTCATTGTCCCTTTGTGCTGCCCTTTGCACCTGGAAAATTAAAGCAAATCTGATTTAAGGACTCAGGGAGGGCGACAAGTTGAACTTCAGCAGCGTGCACTGAAGAAAGAACGTGCAAAGACAAAAATGTTTAGGATTATAAACCTTTTCGTTGTGGATATGAAACGCTCGTGTAAGTGTAATTACATTGATTACTGAGTCAAGTCACCATGCTCAATACCATGAAATGCAAACATAATTCTAATATTTTGTATAATAATGTGGAACATATTTTGCAATGACTTATACAAGTTCCCAAAATGCAACACCATCAGGCACTTGATATTTTCCTCCAGGCATTTTTACAGCTATTTTTGATGTTTTGACATTTCGGGATATTCTTGAACTTTCAAATGTGACTCAACTTGTTTTCATAATTCAGCCTTGGGTTTACAAAAGGTTAGTAAGTAAGTGATAACTTTAGCTACACTTTTTTTTTATATTTAAGGGAAACATTTTATACTTTTAATTGTATCCGGTTCCTTCACATATAACAGTCATTTGGTCCATTACAGGCGGTATTAATGGTAAATTTGGTTTCATAAGGATATATAAAAGGGGTTTCTGGGATGTGTTATAGAAAAATTTTGAAAGTCACCATATAATAAGACTAATATTTATTCATTTGTAAAACTTCTTGAAACTTCTCTGTACTTTTCAATCTACACACAACTAGCTCTTATTTACCTTATTGCAAAAAGAAAAGAACAAAAGGTGATCATTCTTATATCCTACACTTTAGGCTCTCACATTGTACAGCTGTCATCCTGGGACAGTTGACATCGGGTTGATAATAAATTGTCTTTCATGTAAAATATTATAGAAACCCAGCACTGTTGCAGATGTTATATCACAGGATAAATTTTGTAAGAGAACTAGATTTCTTCACTAATTATAAAGCCCTGCAGTAGAGGATAGCACACCTCTTCACTACATTTTAAAGCTGATATCAATGTCAGACCTAACTAAATAATATATGCCCCACACAGATGATGATGAAACTGCACCAAGATTTAAAATCAAGATCACCAGATTTAATTGATTGATGGATTCCACCTGTATCATCAATGGTTAGATCTGAGTGGTTATAAAATTGTTGTAAACTATTTTATTGTATTTTAATCACAGATATTTTATGCTGATTTTGATTTCTTTTAATTGTCCTGTCACTTTTTTAATCATTGATATTTTTTATTTTCCATATACAATATTTTATCTTTATTCATTTATTTATATTTTTATATATTTTGTTTTTTTATTATGTTTTTTATTTTTCTGTGCACACATAGCACCTATACAAGAGGGTTAACCACTGTTATTGGACAACCTGCTAGAAGAGAACACAACAGCAGCTATTATTGTTCCGTTTTTATCACACCAGTTATGATTCTTTAATGTTGTTAACAAGCGTCTACGTGTACTCATGACAGCAGTAGATGTAAACATAGCGTCGGGGGGGCGTATTGGTGTGGTTTGGTTCTACGTATTACCCGTAGTTTCATGCTATCAAGGCGGAAGTGGCAATAAATGGCTACAGCGCTACCTGGTATTACTGTTTTTTTTGTCAATTATAGCCACAAATATATAACATAAGTGCTAAGTTAATTAAATACAGAGACACCTGGTTTTGAAATATGTTGTTTCACAGTACGTCCATCTGCAATGGGATGCCATAGCTTTCTATCTTCTCCTATGTGTAGGTAAACTGCTCCTAGCTAGCAAGTCATCTTACTAACTTACTCGTTCCTTAAAGTGTCCGTCAGCCAGCAAGATGAAAGTCCGCTCGTCTGTTTTTGCCTCGTTTATCTTAATATTTGAAGTGTTTGGCATTGCCCTCTTCCTGCGGGGATTTTTTCCTGTACCTGTCAAGTCTTCCCTCTCATCCAAGAGCAAGCTGTCAGATCTGCCCGCGGAGCCGCTGTCAGGTGAGTTCAGGTCTGGCTCAGACTGACCTCGGTGTATGTGCGAGCATCAGCCTGCACTGTCGACTGGAGACTGTTAAAACTCATACGATGTTTGCTTGAATTGCAGGGAGCTCTCCCAATTCCTCTCGCCTTCCCCAACCCCTTTTTAAAAGGGTGGTGATAATGCTCGTGGATGCGCTCCGGGAGGACTTCGTGTTCGGACCCAGTGGTCGCATGTACATGCCCTACACCAGACATGTGGTGGAAAGAGGCTCATCGCACAGTTTTGTGGCCAAGGCAAGACCTCCAACAGTCACCATGCCCAGGATCAAGGTAGATGTTGTTACTGTTGTCAGATGTTCTCACTCATCAAGTCATTCTCCACATGAGTCTGTTAGAATTACTTGTTTTGTACTGATGGTTATGGTAAGCTGCAAATTAATTTACTGTAGTGAGCCAGCCTTTCAGATCTAAAGTAATTTCTCCAATTATTTTCAAAAATACACATTTTCTGTTTTTAGAACAAAGGTATGAGTTGTTATTTTGTTATGTATCTTTAAATGTGACTTTTATTCAAAACTAAATGGATTTAATATCAGATACACCTCTGAAACAACCTGTAAACCATCACTTTAATCTGTAATGATGAAACTCTGTAAAGGATCAGGCTGGTGTTATTCTATATTTTTCTTACTGTCATCAAAGTCCATAAAAGATGAAAGCCAACAATGTGTTGGTCAGTTTCTAAATGCTTTCTGGAGCTCACCCCAAGCCCATAGCATGACGAGTAGCATTAATGTTAGTGGTCACATTAACTTTATACTAAGATACATTACTGGTCAAAAGTTTTAAAGCACTTAAATTTTTCCAGTTGTTTCTGAAAATTAAAGTATAAAACAAATAATAATGATTTTATTTATATTTTAAAGGAATCACATAATCTTAAAACCTGAATTTAATCTAAATTTTTTGACTCATCCAGCAGCCAAACACACTTGTGACATTCTTCATACGATGGAAATGAAAAACAGAAAGTCAGAAAGTTTGTCCCAACACTGTTGCAGAAGTTCCCACAAATGTCTTACACTTGTAGTTTGCTTTTTTCCACCTTCTGTCCGGTTCATCCCAAACCAGCTCCATGGGGTTTAAGTTTGGAGACTGTGCTGGTCTTCTATGATGTGAAGCCACCTTCTTCTTTTCTTTTAATGTTTTGAGTCATTATCTTGCTGTGGGATGAACCTCTGACCAACCAGTCTGTCTTCCTTTGTTACTTTCTTTTTTCTCACCATCCATACTGCACTACTTCCTGCGTTATTGTCCTAATAATGACTCGGAGGGTGTAGTTACAATTTGTTCCAACACTGCCTTTGTATAGGCAGGGGGTTTGTAAGTCAAAGTCCAAAGTTGGGATGATTCACTTAAGTGCTATTCAGTCCCTGACTACCTGACTAATTTCCCCATAGGTATATATACAAAAGTTTGGACACACTTTCCCGTTCACGTGAATCGGCTAGTGTGTCCAAACTTTTGACTGTTACTGTATATATACACTGAACAAAAATATAAATGCAACACTTTTTACTCCTATTTTTCATGAGTTGAAATAAAAGATCTAAGACCTTTTCTATAAACACAAAAGAGACACGCACGCACACACACACACACACACACACACAGAGTCATGCCATTTATCTGCTGCCATCGCCTCATGTTGCAGCATGATGTACACACCTAAAATGAAATATCCCAGTTCTTGCACGACCTGCACAGTCACATGACGTGTCACCATTGAGCACGTTTGGGATGCTCTGGATCTACGTGTAAAACAGCATTTTTCAATTCCTATCAATACCCAGCAACTTCACAGAGCCATTGAAGAGGAGCAGTCCAAAATTTTATGAGCCAGAATCAACTACCTGATCAACTCGGTACAAAGGAGATGTGTTGCACTCCATGAGGCAAATGGTGGTCACACCAGATACTGAGTGATCCACGACCCTTCCCTCCAAAAAATGCAAATCTCTAACCCAAGTCGTGTGACACAGTTCACACAGTTCAGTGCCTAAATAATGTATTTTTTCAAAATAAAACTGCACATTTAGAGTGGCCTTTTATTATGACCATCCCAAGGCACACCTGTGCAGTATGCTGTGTAATCAGCATCTTGATATGCCACATCTGTCAGGTGGATGGATGATCTTGGCGAAGGAAAAATCCTCATCAACACAGGTTTTAAACATTTGTGAACAAAATTTGAGAAAAAAGACGCCTTCTTTGTGCTTTGAAAAAGTCTTTATCATAAATGGGAACAAAAACAAAAATGTTGTATTTTTGTTCAGTTTATATATATATATATATATATATATATATATATATATATATATGAACAAACTGAACAAAGATACAACATATTTTTTTTTTTATTATCCTGCAATACAGTGATATGTGTGAGTTTGAAAGTTGTTGCTAAACAATTCTTTCATTATAAATATCTTTGGGTTTTGGGCCGTTAGAGAGACAGAGCCAGCAATTTGAATATGGCTCCTTGTGCTCTGGGAAAACTTGACTTAATGAGTGAAACAGAAAAAGATGTTTTAATTGCTTTATCAAAAATATTTCATCCATCCCATCATAGGAGATGAAAATGTCTGAGTCAAATATGCCCCAGCAGTATTCCTGCGAGCCCAGAATAATCATGTAGATGGAAAATGTGAGGAGCATTTTGAAATGGGTGCTAACTTTTCAGCCTATAACAGCATTTTGGGTTACATGACAGAATTTCGAAAGGGTGAAAACATGGTGCTTTGTCACATTTGGATGATGTGTCATGCTGTTGAAAATATTTTGGGAGCAGAGCCAGGAGGGAATTACAGTCATGTCATGTGCGCCTTGCCTGACAGTTGGTAGTGTTGAAGCACACACAAGATTGTGGGCAGACCGGGAAAGAGTCAGTGTGTTGTTTCAGTGGTGTTGGAGAGATTTTGCAAAGGGAATTATTTTTGAGGTAAAAGAGCAACTCAGTTTTGTCCATATGGGCGCTGGGTAGTGCTGAGCTGGTGGTGGGAAGGAATTTAACTGAAGCTGTCAGGTGAAGCAGAATATTCAGTCTCGGTGTCAGAGGGCAGAATAAAAGGCAACATTCATGATTTAGCAATGGTGAGAGGACCGGGGATGTGTCAAGATGTTGTAACGATAGGAAAAGATTGGAGCCAAAACTCAAACTGCTGCTGAAGATACACAGTGTGGACAGAATCCTCCTCAGTGATGTCAGATAACTGTGGTCAGACAGGTGGCGCTGACTCAGTCGCCCTCAGGTCAGAGAGGGTGGCAAAGAGCATGTGTTGGTTGACAGTGTCAAAGAGAGTGGACGAGTGAGCGAAGAAGACGAGGAGGAGAAGCAACTGTGGTGGAGCAGTATTTAAGAAATGCTTTCTGAAGCCTGATCCTACAGAGCGTGGTACGATGTGGGAGAGCGGCTTACAGTTTTTTTAATTATAATGTATTGATGTGTAATTTATAATATGATTGATATTCTGTCGATCAGATCATTTTTATATTTTATTTTATAGTGGAGTTTTAACGCACATTGGCTTTAAGTGTTTCAAAAGAAACTAGTTAACAGTCAGTAAATGGAAGGAGGAACACTTTCTTGAACACACTTGTCACAGAAGAGCTGATGCTGATTGTTGTGAAATGGAGCAGGTCAATGATGATCTGGAGGAGGGATGCCGAGCAGGAGTGAGGCAGACTTGCAGGGAGACAGATGTTCCTCCTTAATCCAAGGGGTTTAAAGAAGGATGTCGTGATGATGGGGGGAAATGGTTTGAAAGCAGCTTGGACAAACAGCCCCGGATTTGAACTTTGAGCTTTGTTGACAGGAAGAGGGAACGCAGGGGTATGTAGAGGGAAATCAATAAGAGGGGACAAGCATGAAGGGTTTATGTCACAGCAGATATATACAGTACAGTGTAAGGACAAGGAGGGGAGGAGAAACTGAAAATGCCACCTCCTCAGCCGTCTGTCAACTTGTAGGTTTGACTTGCAGGCCCGGTGAGAGCGCGCATCTGTAAGCCCAGTCGGGGGGGTGGGCAGTTACAGTAGATCTGAGGCACAACACCTTAAAGTAGTGACTGCACTACTTTATATTCCTCCTCATCTGTTGGCAAACTTCTCCAAAACAAAATACTGGATGAGTGCTAATTGATTCTTGAACTAGAGGTGAGACTTATTTTATTGAGGGACTGATGTAAACTAGATAAAAACAGCCTACTGTAATGAAATCCCAGCAGACATTGCTGAAGTTTTTGGCACGCTGTCACACTGCAGCTGGTGCGTCAACGGAAACAAGCATACGATCAATGCTCTGAGACAACACACTGCTCTATCTGTAGTAACTGCAGTGGTCGGTTTAACCACAACTGTAATTAGAAGTTGTGTTATCCATAGAGCTTTATTAACATCAGTGTTAAGATTAAATTTATCAATCACACCGTTGAGGTTTGGTAATGCACCAGTAGGGGGCAGTACAGACCAGCTGCCATTGAGTGCCCACTATCACTGCATTGCACCCAATTAACTGGTATGACACAGCCAACTAACCTAAATCATAATCTCTCTGTGGCATGGCCATTAATTTACACACATATATCAGACCCAACGCTCCCTCTACTGTATCTGATAAAGTTACACTCTCCATGCAGATATACAGCACAGCTGAGTTTGAAGTCTTATTCAGCTACACAGTTAGGCTTTCGAATCCAGCTTCTTGTCTGTGTATTGTTTTTTTTTTATTTACAGTTTTTACACTGGAAACACTTCCCGGGGGTCTTCCCACTAAATTCAATGATTCCAATTTAGTGAGTTTTTCTAACCATGACAGAAAGAGAAAAGAAGTTAGTTTTCCTCCCCAGTTCTGTATTCACATGTGGCCAGTTGAGCCGCACTCTCAGACTGGCACAGCAGTCAGTTGACACTACTGAGGTGCTGGATTTGGACAATGAATTCAGTTAATCGTAAGCAGCAGCAGCAGCAGCAGCAGCAGCAGCAGCAGCAGCAGCAGCAACACACTGTGGGTGTCTGAAAGGCTTGCATCTGCCTGGGTAGTATGGACACGCTAGATCTAACGCATATTTGGTGCGGTGTTTCACATCCATAGGTATTATGTGGTAATAAGGCCTGAGAAGATTGAGGACAGATTCAAGTTAATTGTAGAAAGTCTTTCTCTCACTAGTCGACCAAGGGCAAGAGCTGAAAAGGAAACTGTTAAATCTTTTGCCAGACTCAAAGACTTGAAGTCACAGCCCCTTCCGTCTGTGTTTTGGCACCTTGACAAGTTTTCAGCACTGTGCCAGAGAGTGTCTGTATACCCCACTGATATTGTATTTGACATTTAAGCAGTGGCACATTGCAAGCCTCGGCACATACTGTGGGCCTGTAATTAGTAAGCTGATGAGTCACTGATTAGTTTGGGCAGGATTTCAAAGTTTGTTGGGTTTTTTTTTTGGCAGAGCTTTTGTATATTTCAAGATGATCTTTACAGTAGATTTATCTCCACACGTCCCCATGTTTATTATTTTATTTTCATTTGTTACTATTTATTATTCAAGTCTCCTACCACATTGGCTAAAAAGGGGTCGAACCACTGGCTTCGTTAGTCAGACTATCTCTTTCAACAGACTGGAGACCTTAGTGAGACTGAGGAGGCAGAAAGAGAAGACTGTTTTTGACGAGGAACCATCCATCTCCTCCTGAAACAAGCATCTTCACTGGCAGGAGCAAAACAATGGCAGGGAAGGAAGTGGTAAATAATTGAGCTCAGGAACAAAGATCACTCGATGAGGCTCACAATTTCAGTTTGACTTTTCAGCTGGAGAAGTTTTTGTTAAAACCTGTAAATCATCTGACCAAACAGAAAGACTTATGACATTACTTGGTCATAGAGTATGTTTATTATTTTGTCATTTATAAATAGGAGACACAAATCTTTGAAATTGGCAGAGGAAAATTTAATTCCCATACATCACGACTCAAATTGATTAAAAACATCATGGCCCTGGGTATACTGAAAATGTGATAGAAAATAAAGTAAGGTTTATGTCTTGTCAGCTCTTAAAGCCTTTCCACTCTTCATTGTGGGGGTGTTATATCCTTAGTTTATTGCTGTTTGTCTCTTGTGTCTGTGAAGTAGCCACGGAGTCGCCGTAGAACGACTAAAGTGGAGCTCACACAGTAACCACGCACAAACTGCTGCAAAGTGTTTTGTAAGCAAAAAACAAACAAAAAAAAAAAACTCTAATATATGAAATCTGATAAGATGAACAAAATACACTGAAGTGAAGTGACAAACTGGGGACAAATACATCAATGATCAACTGGATAAAATAGCGCTATAAGAAGTGATTTCAAAGACAACTTTGAATTTGCCAGCCCAGCTCCCTCGGCAGGTTCCTCTAACACCTGGTCCCTCACACAATAAAGGCCGGTCAACTCTGATCTTAGCCCGGATTTTTGAGCGTCCCGAAGGATCTCAGGCTTTGCTCAGGGCAGCTCGTCGGAGGTTTAAATAACAGTGTTTCCTGCCAGCATCTGCAATCTCATGTCTCCTTCAGTGCATGAAGACAAGGCCTTTGTAGTCCCCCCTCAACGATGCACCACGCTCTTTCCTGACTTCCAAAATAGGCTGTGGTTTCCTTGTCAGTCAAATGGAGGCCATTGTTGTTTTATTGCAGATTCCATGATGAAATCAGTAGAAACTGTACTTCATAAAAATCATCTTTCTACTGGATTCTTTCAGTTCGTGGCAGCGGGATTGGATCAGGGATGTGGGAATAAGTCTGGTTTTCGATGCTAGATCAATGCACTCACCAGTCACATAAAAGGAAGATTAATTGATTTGATTTATTTTGTTTTGAAGATGACCAATATATTAAAAACTTTTGAACACTGTACTGCAACGCAAATCTTAATAAGTTGGATTAATATGATGAAACTGTAAGGTTGAATAACACCATTAAAAGACAATTATTGTTCAAAGGACAATGACAAAAACATATCTCTCCCCAGGCTCTTACCACTGGCAGTATCCCAGGCTTCATTGATGTGGTAATGAACCTAAATTCTCCTGCACTGCTGGAAGACAACCTCATTTGGCAGGCCAAAACAGCAGGGAAGAGGATAGTTTTCTACGGAGATGACACCTGGGTGCGCCTCTTCCCCAAACACTTCATGGAGTACGATGGCACAACCTCCTTCTTTGTATCCGACTACACTGAGGTATGTCTGAGGCAAACAGCTGAAATATATGAGTGATGTGTTTTTTATGGTAATATCAGTCAAGGATTGAAGCACCTGATGGCTACAGTACAAACATTTTGAAATGAAACATAAAAACTAAACATGTTGAGACTCATAGTTTTGCAGCATGAGCTGATTCATTCAGCCTCGTGTGTTTCGTACTATAAATGTGACCAGTTTGCCTCACACACAATGATTTATAAATGCTCTATAAATTGTATAATGTGACAGAAAACTCTCATGTGCTTTGGGTGAATAACAAAGTTAGTATTTTTCCTGTATGCAACTTATTTTAGTTACATCATACAACAATATTATTTATGCACATGTTCTTCAACTTTTCATAGATTGCTGCTGCTGTAGATTGAAGCACATTAAACTGTACCATCACCCGATACATACACCAAAGACTTCACATGATGCAGTAAAGCCTATGCATCTGTTCTGTGTAATATGCTGTACATGTATGCCTGGAAAAGATTCAGTCGCTGCATTATCTACGAGGCCAAGTCATCTGCATTACAGAGATGAAGGCAGCTGATCAACCGGGAAGGCACGGAGCTGAGATCACACAAAAAAACTGCTCATCAATTAGCTCTGTATGCCATAGCTACAAATGCGCCGTGGGACTGTATGCAATCTGCTCTTGTTTATACTAGCATATTGCTGGTGCTGATTTTTAAGCCCTTTACCTGAAATGTTGGATGGCGGTAAATATCTGCCAGGAAATATTTGCCCGGTGATAATCAGACAATCATCAGACTCTATCGCAGCTTTGGGTAAAGCTCCTTTCTGCTCATTTTTAATTTGCTCTAGGGGATGATTTTGAATAATTTCAAACTGATTATCAGCTGAAATCCTGAGTGTCAGTAAATGTATCTTGTTTCCATCCAGGTCGACAACAATGTGACCCGTCATTTGGACAGCACCCTCAAGAGGGATGACTGGGACATTCTGATCCTTCACTACTTAGGCCTGGACCACATTGGTCATATCAGCGGACCCCACAGTTCACTCATCCAGCCCAAACTGCTGGAGATGGACGACATCCTGAAGAAGATTCACAGTGCCCTCATTTTAAAGGTAATTTCTCTTCTCATTCTCAGCTTATACATGATGTCACTTAAAACCATGTGTTTACTTTTAAGATTTCATTTTCATCTGTAAAGAGGTTTTCAGGCTTAAAGCTGCACTAATCAGTATTTTTATATGAATAATGGAGGAAACTCATGAGTAAGTACTGGACTTACATTAATCAGATCACATCAAGACATGACACCAAATGAATGGTAATATTACTCTCTATGTGCTGAATGTGTATATTGCCACCTTTTTGCTAGCATGTTTCCAACAGCTAAGTACAGGGCAATTATTTTGATACTTAAATAATAATTTAGGTCATTTTTTAAGCAAACATGCCGTAGCCACAGCTTCTCAGTAGTGAGCGTTTGCTGCTCTTCTTGCTCTTATGAATAGGAAACTGAGTAGCTTCAGGTTCTGGAGCAAGCAATTTGATGACATCTCCCTCGACTTTCAGAAAGTTTTAGGGCATTTAAACAATTTTTTGACATTGTATGGACGTGATAACACATTTATATGTCGAATATACAGTATGTTTAATATTCAGCTTGTTGTGGCGTTTTATCCCAAGCGGCCAAAATGTGGTTAATGCGGCTTTAAACCACTCCTCACCTTGTTAAGAAGTTGAAAGTGTTTAAAGCTGACTGTTTGATTGATTGACATTAATCATACAAAAGAGAAGTGGCAGATGTTTTAAATAGGAGTTTGCTCAACACATTTTCAGAGTTGTGTAAATGGAAAGAAAAATGAAAAGAAAATCAAAAGGAGTGAAATACATACATTTCATATTGCAATCACAGGCAATTATTGTTTCCAGACGCTGTTTTCTGCCACTAACAATGAATATTATTATATACAGAGTGCAGATGCATATGCAGAATGTAATACATTAGTGTAAATACATTGCTGTTGCAAAAAAAAAAAAAAAATCTCCACCATAAAAAGAATCAAAAACATGGATTTAATATCATGAAAATCCTAAGGAATACAACTTTAACCAATCAGTTATTTACTCACTGTATTTGAATACTGGCTCAGCCTTCTAATTTTCAAATCAAGTTAATTAGACTCATTTGCTCTGTGCATCTCGGCTGCTGCTTGATTTAATTCTTGCTTGTCAACATCTGTTTCTCTCTATTCAAACTCAGCAGTCCACTTTGAATTTTGAATAGTAATTTTATCATTTTTAAGGGTATTGAGGGTTATTATGTTATAGAAGTAGTCAGTGTCATTATTAAGTAAATAAATGAAATATGCAAATATGAAGTAATGATCAATAGTTAATAATTTAATGTGATGCTATCAGAAAAAAATTCTAGCATCATCAGTTTTTGGATGGTCATTTAATTACAGAGATAATTTATACTGTTTCCAGCAGTAATTATGTTATCTTTTGCAGCAGCCCCAGAGATTTAATAAACTGTTAAGCTTTTCTGTTATCTTTAACTTTGTCTTTGATCAGTGTGCAGGTCTTGTGGCCTTGTTTTCTGCATGTGGTGTGACAGCTGTGCATGCATTTGGCTTTGCGGCGTGTGTGTGTTGGTAATGGGCATTGTCTCGCTGTCATTCAGCTGTGTAGCTCGTATTTAGTTTGTCGAGTCATGTCTAAACGAGCCGACGATCTCCCTGCTCTTTCTCATCCTTTTGCATTGTTGGATTGGCAGAGAGAACTGAAGCCGAGTGCACATATCCTTGTAAAGTTTTCCTCTTTGCAGAAGATACAGTGAAGGGTATTTGTGAAAATGTTGATGCAAAATTTCAGCACATCCCCAAAGTTGTTAATTCTGTCGTGTTAAATCCGTTCTCTCCAGGCTCGTGGCGACATCTCTGTGTTGTGGGCAATGGCAGCCTCAAACGTGCTCCCAGAGAGCTCTTTGAATGAAATGTGTTTGAAAGTCTTGCTTCAGTCACATTAGTGAAAGCCGTGGCTGTTCTTTTCTACAGCAGCAGTGTGACCTAAATATAGACACAGCCCAGTGGGGTCCCGCAGGATATCTTAGACGCTTCTGCAAAAACCACTATGTTTTCTCTGATCAGCACATGCTCTTAACGTGTTGGGGGTTGTAATCTCATAATTTCAGGGTGTTTGACTACACGCGTAAGGTGGGTGTTGTCTGCTGCTGCTGCATGCTCTAGTACTAAAGGCTATGATGGTTCCTGCTGCGGAGGAGAAAAGCAGCCTGGCATTCAAATGGCAGCCCTCAAAGTCTCTTTGTAATGTGATGTGATACGAGTTGCCTATTTCAGCAAGCTCATATTAGGGGCAGAGAAATGCTCTACCTGCTCACTCTCCATTAAAACGTGATTGGAAAACAGGATCTCCTGGTTATAAAGACCTTCGTCAGAACCTTTGTGTTAATGGAGAGCACATGGCCTCAATTTTCTCTTTAGATATTTCAGATTTTAAGGTTTTTGCTGTTTGAAGTGAAAAACTTCTTAAACCTGACCTGTGGAGTCAGTGTGTAATCTGAGCTATGTACTCCGCAAGGGAGATAAATTAAATGGAGATTGACTGTTGCAAATGTTGAGACTGTCATATCTCTCTTTCATTTTAATTTTTTCTCATGATGTTCTGCTCTGACAGAGGACCTTTGTTCTTTTACTGAGATGTAATTGCAGCAATTTATCCAACAAATTATACTGCGGTGTTTCCTTGTGTCTTTTGTCTGATGTAAGGCCACAGGCCTATCACATGAGCTATCTGAAGAAGCTGTCCATTGGCCCCACCTGTCAGGTTTCAACCATGTTCTTATGAATGAATTGAATGAACAGAATGTTATATAACAATATTGATTAGATAAAAGTGTTTATTGTTACAACAATGTTACAGTAGTGTTTGTGTACAACTGAATTGTCAGTGTAACAGCCTCAACTGCTTATTTATTAGCTAATAATTTAACTGCTTATCCATTACTTTTACCTTACAATAGCCTAGTCATATAGCTAACTCTAAGTAATTTGTCTTATCCATTATTTTTAGTGATTTAAACTATTTATTCATTACATTTAGCGGTTATCCTAAATTTACTGAAGATTACCATCACACCAATTTGTAATTGTATTTGTCTGCGTATTGTCCTCCTTAACACAAATATGTGGATATATTTCTTTTTACTCAAATTGGCATTTTACTGTTTTCTTTTTTTTTGTTGAGTTGATTAATCGAACTGTCCAACCCCTGGCAACTGTAGCACTACCCCAGGGGTACAGGTGCCCCTGGCTGGGAATCACTGACTTACCAACTAGAATAATATGATTGCGGAGTAAAAAATGAAAACTATTTAGCTTACTCATGGATAACATGAGCTACCATTTGAGTCAGCATGGCACCTTGTGTATTGGTTTTAAAAAAAGGTTTCTTATGAAGTGTAAAAAAAAAAAAAAAAAGTCTCCCAGAAGAGCCGTGCTTTCATCCTGAAGAACACTCTGATTTATCCCAGGCTGAAAAGAGGCTCGCTCAGTGTGGGGCTTAGTGGTGTTTAGTACCCGTCTTGAGGTGTTTTTAGTCCCTTGTGTCCAGTGCCATTTATAGCAAGCATTCAAGAGTTAAAATCTAGGACAGGGGTTAGTCCTTTGCTTCTTCTGTGCTGAGTGAGTAACAAATATAATGGGTCAGCAGAGCTCAATGGCATAGTTTGGCTCCAACCGGCAGTGTTTGTTCCCTGTATCCATCACGCTGTTATGTCATGTTCAAATAGTATCAAAAAAGTAGGAGTACAGCTCCAGCTACAAACTAAACAGTTATGCTGACATTGGCCTTTGCTGTGTGTCTGTTTGGATAAAGTCATCCTAAATGAAACATTTTATCAGACTTGCCTTTCATATACAAGAGCAGAATTTATCTCAGCTGTTCAGCGATCACTGCTTTTTCTGTCTCTCAGGCTGTCTATTAATCTCTGCTTGATAGGATACAATTTTTAATCTTTAATAATGAATGAAGTCTCTGGTCTTTTTTTTTCTTTACGCGTGATTCAACACTGGAACTGAGGAGTCTGTTGAGAGTATTGTAATGTGTGGAAGGTTTTGGCTTTTGTTTTGATAACATCTGTAGTCGTGTTTTTAAGTCAGCCCCCGCTGCCACGACTCATAAGGCATCCCTGTCAAATTCGTAGTCAATGGAAGGTTCTCCAGAGCCTAGTTGAAAGGGAATCACTTAGGGAAGAAACCAAGCTTGATCAAAGTCTGTCTTTCTCAACAAACGAGCCATCCTCTCTGTTTGCTTGCTGCCTTTACTGTATTTTTTTTGCTCTGGAGATGCAATGAAACTGTGCCAGGAAGTGTTTGTCATTACTTTCTTTTCAAAAGTAATAATTTAATACTTTTCTTTTTCAGCTGCTTTTAAATGTCTCCAGCATAATAACATCACAAATATGGTGAAACAATCTATCACCCTAGCAACCATCATTTTATGCTATTGCTCTGTTTATCTAAACTGGATGTGTTTCATTTTATTTTGGTTGCTCACACAGGAGGCATATGGTGCCAGGTGTGAATTATTCACATCTTAAAGCTTTAAGGTTCCTTCTCCTATATCAGCACATGCAGTGGTAGTCCATTTACCTTGGTGTTTGTTCTCTCAGGAGGCAGAGGGATCTCTGCCCTACCTGCTGGTGCTGTGTGGAGACCACGGCATGTCGGAGACCGGCAGCCATGGAGGCTCTTCAGAGCCAGAAGTCAATACGCCGCTGGTGCTCATAAGTCCAGCCTTCAAAAGAAAAGGTAAACTGTCTAGTGTTGCTTTAAGAGGCTAGAGGGAACAGATTTGTCATGAATTTGAAGAGATTCTGTTTGGCTGTGGTCTCAATCAGCATCTTTTGCACCTACCATTACAGCTGCAACCTGTCCACATACTGACGCCTGCATAAAAGTGTCACGTTATGTTTTTCTTTAAGGTTTGGACCATCTCTTGGTGGCTCCATAGTGGTCCACCCTGCTGGAGAGAATGTAGTTTATTCATGACAAATCATTATCAATCAAGTAAACCAAATCTTGTAAGTGAAATATTTTCTTCCATGCTCACACATGAGTTTCCATTAATTCTAGCGTGAGGAGCGCTGTCATCTGGAAAGAGTGCAAATTGAAGCTCCTGAGCAGAACTTTATTTTGCAGTGATGAATGTGGTTGAGTGGGAAAGTGTGATTGTGATAATTGCTTCTTTCTCAGCCAAGTCTATTTTTGAGATCTTTTCTTGCAAAGATTTTTTATTTATAGACCATTCATGTTAATTAATCATTTGCAGTTCAGTTGAGTTGTTGCTACAGAATTCATGCTTTTGCTAACACTCTGCACCTCCCATGGTGCCAACAGCTTGAATGACTTGTCTACCACCAGGACCTTCTCTATCAAATCTTAAAATTTTGGAAGTAAATGCCAAAATTCTTTGTACACATATGAATGATGAAATACATCCACAGCTGCTTGAATGAATTCCTGAAGTTGTTAATAAGATGATTTTCTGTGTTTCATTAGCATAGAAATTAAAAGAGGCCATAACAGTGTTTCTGTAGGAAGTAAAGTTTGTTTTTGTTAGAATACAAACATAATATAGCCCCTGAAAACTTGCCTTGAAAGTATTTTTCATAAAACCTTAAATATTCATGAATAAAAGCACACTCAAAGTAAAAAAAAAAAAAAAAAAAAAACTTCTTTAGGTGTTATTATAAGTGCTTAGCATTTAAAAGCTCAGCTTCATCAGGACTGTGTGGGCATAGTTATGATCAATGCTGAGAGAAAAATCTGATGTGCATGGCAGTATGTAATATTAGCATTTCTAATTGAGCCCCGCCCATGTCTGACCGGAGACATGAGCACAGAGGAAAAAAAGAAATACTGAAATGTCTAATAATCAAACCTGTTCTAACTTCTGCAGAAAACAGTGTGCGCTCATGTAAGATGCAGTCACTCTTATTAAGAAGTTAACGGAGGAAATACGTTTCCAGGTCCTCGTGTGAACACCTTTAATTAAGAACAACAAAACATACAACAATACGTGACAGACACTTCATGTGTTTTCCTACAGACGAGAATTCTGATTTGACTCTAAAGTTAATTTACTCATTAGTAAGGAAACATTAAGTCTTTAATCTATTCATTTGTGACCTTAAAGCCACAAGGTACAGACTCTCTGTTAATACCACCTTGGATGTACATATGTTGACATAAATTTGTACTCTATTAAATGTAGCCGTTGTGCAATCAGTGGCCTCATCAGCAGAGCTGGTTATATTTACGTAGGAGGAATGTCTGCGTAGGATCAGAGTTCATTACTGGCTCAGTACCTGAGCTTCACTTTTTAATCTGAATGCATCATTGAGAAAACAGCCCCCCCAGCACAGATTGGTAGAACATTTAGTCGACATTGCTGGGAGGATCTTGAGAAGCAATGCCACTTACTGCTTACCTCAGTAGCTGTCCCTGTTTTTTCCTGTATTGCAGTTAAAGCCAAGAAAAAAACATTAACAGAGAATGGTTAAGGTGGTAACTTCCCAGCCTCAAAACCCACAGCAACAGTGGTGCAACCACACCAGTAACTGATGCAAGAATGTTTTGATACATTGATAGACAAAAAATCTGCCTACTGATGTGAGAGAGATATTAATGAAGTGAGCTATAGTACCCATATACACATTCCTTACGTGTGCCAGCGTCAGTTTAAACCTCACCATAACAAATGTTGAGGTAGCTGCTAATCCTGGTTTTGTCACAGCGTTCGTACAAAGTCATCTACAAGCTGAGCAAATGCGTGGCTCTGTACAGTTATAGTAAGAATTTACACATGACCGTAATGGTGGTATTATAGAGACAGTATTAGAGAGTTAGATACTGTAATGCATATGGCATTGTCATCAGCTGCAGTTTTGTCATCTGTGAATCGGCATTCAGTGTGTGTAAGCTTTTACTGAGTTATGACACATCTGTTCTGCCAGAATGTGAGTCGCTCTGTTGTGTAACCCTCCCATGGTCACACTCAAATAGTACAGTGCACCCAAAGAGGTTTGTTTGGATGTAACAGTAGAGACATGTGGTCAGTGGTCTGCTCAGCAGATGACTTCTTTCCTTCTTTTAGGGAACAAACACAACATCATGAAATAATAATGTGTGGTTTTACATGCGGTTAACATGGGATTAGTGTTTGATAAAACTGTTTTAATTTCTCCGTGGGTCTGAAAATATTCCACTTTAAAAAGAAGGCTCTATCAACTTTTACTCATTAGTGTAATTGCTGCAACTAAAACCATAACTTAAACATTTTTAGGCATTCATTGCTAAGTAACAGATTTAAACAAGCCTGATATACTTGGTAGATTTATGGTATTATCCCGAGTAGCTGTGGGTTTAATACAGCAAAGTCCTTGTTGCAAATCCATGTCCTTTCAATTTAAAATGGATAATTCCCCAGCTTATTTCATTGTGTCCAATTACCAAATTAGCTCATAGCTGTGGGGTTCGTCCAAGCCTTTAGTCTGCAGCTGTCTCGCTTCCCCACACACATGAGCTGTGTCGTTCATTTTTGGATATATGATATATATACAGCTGTATAGTTTCTTATTGTAACCTGAAAACTGCCCTCAAACACAGACAATCTGGCAAATGTCTCCCACCCTCCGTTTGTCTTCTTGAAAGCTCTCTACAGGAAGTAGAGTGTCAACATAAAAGTGTTTGACAGAAGAAAAGCATTGAAAAATGAAAGGCAAAGTTCACATAATAATGATTTCATTTCATTTGTTTCATTTTATTTATTTATTTATTTTTTTTGTGTGTTGTGGTTTAACATGTTGTGACAAGCCTCCCCATGGTCATACCCACAGGCGAGAGTCATTATGAAGGTTGTTTGTGTTCAGATTCAGGCTTTCTAGGTTAGAATTCAAAACGAATATTTCTATGATTCTAATCAACAAATAAGATGTCACTAATGCACTCTGCCTCAATAAATAAAATAAGAGTCAATTGTGGAGAAAGGTTGTCGATGTTCCTCCACTCTCGCCATTTACTGTGACCGCAGCCTGACTGTCCTGAGGGGGAAAAGACAGCTGTGGCAATGAGATGCTACAGCTGCTGTGGAGTGATATGTCCCACTAAAATGTATTCTACATATTCAATTCTACCAAACTTCCCGAATAGCAGGAAGGCGTGGGATATTTCACTGTTAGCGCTGTGTCAGGTTTATGACTTGGGGAGAAGTACCTCCTTTTTCTAATTTCACTTGATGAGTGTTGTGAAATTCTTTGAGACAAGCTCTTATTGAGTGAACGCAGAAATCTCCCACAGCAGACACAGTATGAAAATTGAGCCATTTCCTCGTGTCCATCATGTAAATAGTTTTTGTCTGTGAATTTCTTTAAAGCTTGAAGTAATAAAATGGGACTTTTGTTCGTATAAATAAATAGCCATTTTGCTACCCACATTTACTGATTGATGTAACACAATTGTGATTCAACATTTGGTTAGTCTTTGAAAGCTTTTCCATTTTTTTGTGTCTGACACTGCATGTTTTGAAGGGAAAGAAATCCTCAGGCGCACAGACAGCAGTGTATTTTAAGTTTAAAGTCATTTTGGAATAAACAGAACAAGAACCTGATAGCTGGTACATTCAGTGATCCCTGTTTTGCTGTGTTGTTTTTTAACCAAAGATGTAAAATGCAAGTAATACACTTAATTCGTGTGTCATTAAAAAAGCATCATGTATTGCAGGCACACACAGGTTCTTAATGGTTTCCATGTGTGTGTTGTTGCCCTGTCATATCAGTGGGAATGGAGAAGCCTGGAGTGGTTGAGCAGGTTGATCTGACCCCGACCTTGGCCCTGGGACTCGGCCTGCCTATATCTCAAAACAGCGTGGGCCACGTCATCCCGGGCGTCTTGGAAGAAACCTCGCTCCGAGACCAGCTGCGCTTCCTGCATCTCAATGGCCACCAGCTCAGCTGCCTGCTCAAAGACAGCATACCCAACTATGAGAAAGGTGGGTTACAAATTCACTATGTCCGACCTCTTGAGTCATCAAAAGCCCAGAAAGCCAGGACCTTTTCTGACGGGGAGTCTCATCTCTATGGTGTATTGTTTCCAGAGAGGTAATAGTAGTGGTGTCTTTATTTTTCCATTCACTCAGCAATGTGGCATTCTGAATGAAAGCAGTGCAAGTTAAGGAGTAGTTCATCCCAAAATGAAAATGCAGTGTTTTTTTTCCTCTACCCTATGTCAGTCAAAACTGTTTTTGCTTGAACCACCGAAACATACAGAGAGTCATTTTCCATTACTACATCTCCAAAACTGTTAAAGTTAATGGGGCATCATATTGTAACACATAATAAATAACACAATGTCCAGTACATGCAGTGTCCTAATCCAAATATTTTGTTGCTCCACTTTAGCTGGATGAGTAAATAAGCAATGGTTTTCTACAGTTCCCTATTTACAGTGCTCTGCTGCGCTGACGTTGTCAAAAAAGACAGAAAAAATGAACGCTAGTGGTTTACCATCAGCCACTATTCAATCTCAAGCTGTAGTATGTTCAGACAGGTGTCTTTACGCATCTCAAAATCTGAATACCACACATGAGGTACTGACATAACATGTGCTAACTCTAAGATCACTATTTTGTTGAGGTTATTGTTTTATTGTTTCATATTTCACTCACAGTTTTGTGCATGTGTTGTCACTGAAAGAAACACAGATGGCACAGGCTTACGTTGACTCAGAAATTGTTTGCTCTAAGTAGAAGTTCATCTCCTCATTATTCACACCATGTTGTCGACCGCATCAAAGCAGCTTCTCAGAGCGTTTAACCAGAAGCAGTCTGATTAAAAACGAGGGTAGAATCATCTTACAAGTTCAAAAGATTCATCATACCAAAACTCGTCAACACTGCAGTCCTATACAAAAACAGGGAAATTTTGATTTCAGCATGACTCAGATGAAAATAAACTGATTTAGACACGATTATATTTTGGCTAATGGTTTCTAATAGTAGCTAACAGATTGAAAATATTCATCTTGCAATTAGATAATCCTCCAGATGTTTCAGATACAGTACGTTTTCTTCTGATTGGCGCAGATGAATCACATATGCACTGAGAAGACGTAGGGAATAAAACGCTGCCATGAACACTGACCTGCTCTGAACACACTGCTGTCAGGTCACGATGTAAGTGATAGCAGATCTGTGCATGGATGAATGAATGAATGAATTACCTTACAACTGTGGGAACTCCACACGGGAGACTCGCAAACAGTTTGTGGTCTGTTCTTGAGCATTAATGCTGCCCACTGTTTGTGCAAATGCATGCACATATCCTTACAGAGTTTTGCTCCCTACTTATATCTGGGGGTCACACTGTTTGTCAGAGTTATCCATCTTGCAGCTTCTCCCCCACGCCTCTTGTTTTTCTCCTTCTCCGTCTATCTCTCTGTTGCTGTCCTTCACTTTCACAAACATTTGATACACCAATGGCAGCAATTACCATTGCTAATGTTTGATCGGTCAGAAGTCATTTATCTTATCGTTTTAAATGAGACAGAGCTACGGAAGCAGAGAGAAAACTCTTTGATAAGTGGCTTGTTTGGCAAATAATTGGACATGTGGCATTTAATTTAAGATTTCATAATCTTCACAAGGCATTTTTTCCACAGAAAATTTACTTTTTTTTTTTTACTTACTGTATCAGTTATACCATGATCATGGAATAGTTTTGCTTTTGAAATTATGAGCAAAGAGGTAAATGGTGGTGCCAAGGTTACATACCGGTGACCATCCTACCTAATGAAAAATCTCTGAGCAAAGATAAAGGCAGCTAGAGCAAATCTGATGACCAGAGAACAAAAAAATCACACCTCTAATGCACGAATCCTTGGCAGGCATTGCAGGACTGCTTTTAAACCACTGCCCTGTATCTGTAAGAGGTAGAATTAACATAATGACACTGAAGATGAACTAGTACTGTGTACTTGTTTTTCAAGAATCTATTCATCAAGAGATGAATAGATAGATGAAGGAGCTCTGTGACAGACGCACCTACTAATATCGCAGTAACTATTGGATGAGTTGCCATTACATTTTGTACATGCATTCATGGTTTCCAGATGATGACATGTTCTGTTCTGTGTCATCTTTGGGCCCACACACATTTGTATGTTGTCCCAGTTTTCAATACAACTTACGCTGATGACAACATCAATATTGTCTTGTGTGTGTTTCTAAAAGTAAACACTGACTCAAACCTGTTTGAGGTAAGCAGCAAATAATGTTTTTTCAAAACTTGATTTGAAACAAATGACTTCCTTTCACATAGAAAAAAAAAAACTTACCGCTCTGGCAGCACATTTTCCTCTCTATTTTGGTCCCTGGTTTCCATAGTGATGGGATGAAATGGAAATTATTTCAGCAGACCTACATTTGGATGTGTTGATTTTTTTGAATCTGTCCACTTGGGTAATCATGAAGCTGTTTTGCAGTAGAATGTAATAGTTGTCACTGCTGGGAAATTCGCCTTGGATGATATTTTAAGTAGCGTGCCTGTTGGACACCTGTTGGGGTCAAATTTGGGTGTGAAAGGGGTTACTTGAAAGAAATCAGCCTTCTGTCTGAAAAGAAATGTTGCTGATTTCACTATTCAAATATGTTTCATCAAGGAGACGAAACGTACTTCAATCAAAAAATCTTTTAGCAACAATTTATTAAGCCCAGCCACTCTCGGCTTCGGTGTGACGCCCTAATTGGATATTTAAGGAGTATTCTTTGTTGTGCAAACCTCTGTCAAGTTTATACAATCACTTATCTTTGTTTAAGTTTAGCTCTGGTGATACAAGGTTTAAACAACCTTGCTCTGCCTCCATATCTCTCTGCCACATTCTCTGTCCGTCTCCCTTGTTTCAATCTTCATATTGTGTGTGTGTTTTTTTTTTTGTGCCTCTAACCTCAGGCATCTTGGAGGGCCATTAACCAGTCCCCGTTCTTTCAGACAGATGAAACATGGCCAGGACCATCGATATTGTATGATTCATGCCTGTGGCTTAAGGTTCTAATATTTCTACCAACCCCTCTGTCTGGCGAAGCCACAGTCACTATTTATCACCTCTATGCCTATGCTGCTGAGATAGGTGTTACACTGCAAAATATGGTTTTTAGGAGTGTGTGTGTGTGTGTGTGTGTGTTTCACTGAAGGATACCACAAATCAAACCTCCACATTGCTTTGTCCTTGAACAGGCTCCTAAAGCACTGAAGTAAGATGAAAACGGGCATCATTTCATCTGCTTTGAGTAAACACATGAATGAGTCATAGCTTGTCGTAGTTAAGATCATGGCAAATTATACATCGCTTTCATCAGGACTAAACGGTTTTTACTACAAGAGTATTATCTTTTCAATTTAAGGAATATTATCGACACAGAAAAGAGTGAAATATCATAGATTTATAAAACATCCAGCATAGATCAGAATGACTGATGAAGACTTGAACAGGATTTCTGAACTCTCATTCACAAAGAAAGGAATTGTTAGAAAGTACCTATATTCTCTTAATGATGAAACACAGCAGAATAGGCAGCATCCTGAAGAGGCTTTCTTCTGACATGAGACGAAGCACTCCTGACTGCCTTAACTTTCCTTCACGTTTTTCATGGTTTTGTCACAATATGGTGACAGATTGTTGATATATGCAAGGAAATAATGCCAGTAAATGACAACAGTGCGCTCCTATAATACTGGAAATATTGCTGTTAATTTAGAGGCAGTCTGCAAACAGAAGCTGGAGTTATGTGATTTAGAAAGTTTAGATTGTTTGGTTTCATAAATAAATTTAATTGTCCTGATGCATCAAACGGTATTTGGTGATAAATAAACATAATAAAATCAATGTGACGCTGCATCAGGAAACTCATAGAGGTTATTAATGAGATGCTGCAAATGTCCTCCTCATTTTGACAAATATATATGAATGCAATAGCTCCAGCAATAAGGTTATATAACATTAACATTAAGTCTTTGAGTAATTGACAACAAACATTAATGTCAAGTAATCCCTGATTAATGTCCACACTAAAGCCACGCCATTTAAACCCCCCACCCTCCCAACTTCTGTCTAATCCAGAGGCCGGCTTTGAGCAGTTCCGTGTGGCAGAAAAGGCTCATGGGAGCTGGATGAAGCTCTACATGGAGGGAAATACCTCTGAGGTGCTGACAAACATGGGGAAAAAAGTCCTGAAGCAGTACCTGGAGGCCCTGGCCGCCATGAGCTCAGCTCTCGGCAAACAGCTGGGCAAGTACGACATGTACTCCATGATCGCAGGCATGGTCTTTGTGTTTCAGGTGAGTACAGAAGAATATATCTCCTCCTAAGAACTTCAACGGTAACGGTAGATTGATGTGTCTCAGCGGTTTAGGAAACAAATGTAAAAAAAAATAAATATGAAACCAAACCAATGTTTTTCTCTGTAAAAGGATTGAGTAGGGAATGTTTTGGTATAATCAACATATGTTGCTGCGGTCTGCTCGGCGTTCATGATCTTTATGCCCAATATCCGATGGCATCGCTCTTAACTGCCGCACTTAAGGAATGAGGTATCCACTGTTCATCCACGCTGTTGAAATCATGCTAGGTTTTTTCAGGTTGTATCAGTTAAACAAAAGCTGTATCAAAGTTCTTAAAAACTTTTCTCCTACTTCTGTCTCCATTCTCTCCCTCTCTCCTGGCCTTTAAGCTCCTGCTGCTCTTACTGCTGGCTATGCCTGAAGCCCTCAGTGGCGCAGCAGCAGTGGACCTCCCAGTCCTCTCAGCCCTGCTCTCTCTGCCTTTCTACCTCATGTGCCTGCTGCTCGCCTCAGTTCACGTCTTGGTGTGCACATCTGCCGAGAGCTCCTGTTACCTCTGCAGCCTCTCCTGGGGTCTCGTCTTTGCTGCTGTTGCCTTCTCCTCAACAATGTTTTGTATCCTGGTCTCCATGGCAACACGCAGACTCTTCCCGGGGCTGAAGATTCACGGGAAGGTGAGTTTGTGCACCTAAATGTACCGCCCAAACGCAGGTAGAGATTGTAACAGATGTTTGCCCTCTGAGATGTACACACACGTATGTCACCTATGTACAGGAAGCTGCATGTGAAGCCTTGAACTTGATCATCAGTTCGGCTGCTTCACAACAAGGAATATTGAAGGGACAAGTCAGGGAATAAGATCTAATGTTAGTGAATCCAGCATCTCTGGGTGGAAAAATAACTCACTGCTGTTTAGAAGATGGATTTTTGCTCTTATATAATGATTTTTTCTCTTCCCACCAGTAAAGAAACATTACCCATGAGCCCATCAGAATTTATTTTAGAGAAAATCTACTAAATCTACTGAGGCTCAGGGGGGAAGACACACTCGTGTCTATTGTACACCCACTTTGTGATTTAGCAAACTTAGCAAAGTCTTTACTAATGCAGCTTTAAATCACTTGAATGTTCCTGTACTGTGAAACAAAAGCCTGAGAAAAGTTTTAGCGGATTTTGTTGGATGAGGGACAATTGAAAAATCGCTTCGGCAAAAAGAGGCCTAAAAGAAATGTTTCAGCAGCTGCCTTTTAGTCAACTAGAGACTTTGGGCTCCATTTAAATTCATCAAACAGTGTGTGGCTATATCACACCTTGTTAGAGCCTTGTTAAATACTCCTTAATTACTCTACAGTAACACATAGGAAAATGGTGAGGTAATAAGTACAGAGTAGTTTTAATGTCGCCTTCTTTAACGCAGTAATGCGCCCTTAAATATACTCACCAATAAAAATGATATTATTTAAAGTTATTGTTAATATAAGAATCTTTTCATCAGTCAATGCAGTGACTGTGAGAGTCAGAGAAAAGGAACTAGGACAGTATTTCTCAAACTCCAGAGACTTAACTGTGAAATCCAATGACACGACAAACAGTGAGCTGCTACAGTCTGTGCTGCTGCAGGTTCACGCCACGTCCCAGAGTTCACAGGCGTCCATTGTTTTCCAAATCCATTAAAAACAGCTCACATTTCTGAAACACACTGCTGCGTTGATGAGCATAATCCATCATTTTAAATAGCATATGTTTTATATTATTTTTTTTAACACGACTTTATAACACCACAATCATTGCGCTTATATCAGATGTTCCAGTCTGCCAGAATTGAATCTGTGCAGATGATTGCGTGTCTCCGGCTAGATGGTGTCTCCCACTCTGCAGCACAGAAAGTTTTGCTTTACCTCTTTAATGCTGAAGGAAGGTCACAACTGTGTGGTGCAGTGGAAAAAGTGAAAATAGGCCAACCGAGCCCCACTATTACTGTCAAAATAATGGCATTTTAGGAAAAATTACAATAGCTGTGCTGCTGAACATGAAGCTTTATGAACAACAGCAAGACTCTGCCAGCAGTATTTACTGTGAAACATTAGTAGCATTTGACCTTAATTAACACTATAAAAACTGCATGAATTCATTTGCTGTGATTTTTGAATTGAACAAGATTAAAAGATTTCACGGAAAATTACTTTGACTCTGTAGGAATGTTACCACAGTTACAATCACTGCTGCATATATATTATAATAAATGTCAGTTTTCAACTATTGCCAACAGTAAAGCAGACAACCAGCTGACTGATATGAGTTTCCCGCCAACAGGAGAAAAGAGGCCACGTCGTCCGTTCTGAAACTGCCGGTGCTCAAATAAACAGAAACATGTCTAAACATGTCATTAAACCAGCATGTCACCATTAAACCTACAAAGCTGATGGACAAAGAGCGATACTGAAATTGACCTCAATGAACATCAACGAAGTAAATCCCAGCGATATGTTGACGACCCTTCTAAATGTGAGCAATCAATCAGATACAGCAGGACTAGTTAGTGTTTGTTTAAACCGGCTTTAAACACGAATCCTCTTTACTCCTGCTCCTCTTTGCTCATTGTAATTTATCTGTAAAGGTTACATCTCATTTCCCTCCTGGGAACTTTGAGAAAGTGCTGACATGTCCAAAAAGTCCGAAGAAATCTGCTCAGACCATTAGGCTGGATGAAGAAATAAACTTCCAGATCTATACACTGGCGCATGTGGAGGAAACACACAGTACTGTAGATGCTTCTGTGACTCAGCCTTGCTTGAGAGAACTGTGGAATATTTGTCTTTGAGTTCAAATGTCACACAAATGTCAATGTCAGTGTGCACATACTTCAAAGAGCAGTCAATGATTGGACTTGTAAAGAGAAATGCGTCTCCTCATCCAGCAGCAAATTCTTGAGAAATAACCAGACTTTGGATAGAAAGGTAACAGAGGGCCAGAACGCCGAGGCTCAACTCATGTAGGCGAACAAACTTAACGAATTGAATATCGAACTTATCGAAACGAATGCTTCAGACATATATGTACAATTAACTGTGACACAATGACCTCAAAATGAAAGGGAACTAATTATTTGCTGTTCATTTTGGCAGCAACTAATGATTAATTTTCATTATTCAACCTGTGAACATTTTTTTTATATTAACTGACTAAATGGTTTGTCTATTAAATGTCAGATAATAGGGAAAAACCGAAAAGTCTACAAACTCAAACCCAAAGATATTCAATTTACAAATCTTCAGAGTAAATCATCTGATTTTCGAAACTGGAACCAGAGACTGTTTGGGCGTGTTGCTTGATAAATGATAGCGAAGTGATTAATCAGTTGTTAAAATAGTGGTGTTTCAGCACTATGTCCGTGTGTGTGTTTATATTAAACCACTTATGTCAAGAAACTAATGTGACAGACAAGTGGGATTATATCTTAAATGCTTATTACAACAAAAAAAAAGAACTTGGATAAGAATCAGAGTGCTGGATCCCGATTGGCTCCAGGCCCACAATATAAATAATACAGCCTATAAAAGCTTCTAACTTATATATTTATGGAGAATAAGCTCCAGCTGTAATCTGTCCTCAAAACCTGTTACTTACATTCATTTAGTTCTGAGTCCTGCTGCAGATACAGTTTTACTGAAACTTTTAACTGGTCTTCGAGGGACCATATAAACCACAGTAGCATTTCAGCTTTCTTATATTGACTTGCAGCTGATGTTGGAATCAATGCTAAAATCTTATCGATTACTTTGAGAGCAATACATTGATTTGCCCCATCTGCCGTTTTACTGTAGGGAGTGTAGAGAAGTGCAGTGCTTGGTATCATGACATGTTTTATATCTTGTTCCAGAAGCAGTGATTAAGCTTTTACAATCATGGCCAAAATCTTTATCTCTGTAATAACCTGTGTGAGGAAATACAATTAGTGGACTCTGTGTCGTCGAAGTCATGACTGACAAACTCATTTTGATATTGAGATTAAACACTGAAGCTGTTTTAGTGTTATACTATATTAGTATTGCAAATGGAAAGATTTTTGTTAAATCTACTTTTGCCAATGTGGCATCTTTTGGACAGTTTTCAGCCGCCTTTCAATTTACTGAAGTGCTTTGAAAATACAGCTAGAGTTACCATTAAGGAGAAAAAAGTCAGAAAATATTGTGCAACAAAGTCCTGAAGTGAAAGAAAGAAAGGATAAGAAATGATCGGGAGTCAGGTACAGTGTTGTTAGGTTATATAATCACTTGGATCAGTTTGGATCTGAATGCAAAGCTGCGCCTGGTTTGGCTTGACAAATGACTGCATTATGGGTGGCATCCAAAAGTTGTATTACAAGTATCCTGATTAGTCTCTCTGCTAGACGAAGTGAGGTTGAGAAACTGGAAGATTAAGCACACTTACCAACTCACCACTTGAACAAAAGTGTGATTAGAATTCCAGTTGAATGAATTTTAATAACGTAAAGGTGAGTGTACATTATTTAAAGAGGTAGTTCCTGTGAGGGAGGTTACAAGTGGGGGAATATTTGAAATTGGAAATTGGAGAAAACAGAAATGCTGAGAGTAAAATACTTGCAATATTAAAACAAAAGCTAAGACCTCCTTAACAAATGTACTCATTGAATCTATCATGACTGTTGTAAGGAGCTTACTTAACTCTGAGAACAATACAAGAGTTTAATAAGCTTTCTTTTTTCGCCTGAGTGAAAATAGCTGTATTTCAAATGAGAAAGCTGGAAAGTCCTATTATAGAGGGCTGAGTCAGAAAGACTGTTTCACAGCTGCATGATGGAAAGTCAGCTTCAGTGGTCTGCCAGTAGAATAATCATAAATCACATATCATACCAAGACTGATTTGTCACTTTCATGCTACTTTTGCCTTAAATGATAGAAATGTGGTGTTTACCGGCATCCATGCAGATAGGGCACCAAAGATCCTCCAGTGATTTTAGACAAAAAAAGTCATGACTTTGTTATTTCATGATGCAGACAGAGACATCTTGAACACATAAGGCTTCAGGTTCTGATTGATTGACGTTCTATTGTACAGTATGTTGTCCCTGAGGCTGCTTGGAGAATATTTCAACCTTTTATGCTTTTCAAATCAATAGAAGAGCATTTACAAGCTATCTTTTATTGTCTTTTGATAATTAAAGGTCCCATATTTTTTCAGTGTTTTATTTGAAGTGTTGATCCATAAGAAGACGTATTTGTGGTTTTAAGAACCAAAAATTGTCTCAATGTAGTTTTACATCTGCAAGAGCGGAGGCTCTGAGCCTCTCTTCTGATTGGCTGACTGTTTTCTGAGTGATATAATAAAAATATAGCAGATTTCAGGAAAACACACAGAGAAACCAAATCCTGCAGGGTTGGATGGTGGGTCCAGGTGGGTGGGGCTTGCGGCGTGGCTGAGAGCGGTGACAGCTCTGTTGTGACATCACAAAGTTACAGAAGTCCTGACGGCTGGTTTTAAGGCTCAGTTTCTGAATACAGGCTGTGTGCATTTCTCTGTGGACTGAGGCTTTGATACTTTCACAGTATTAATATAGAAGCTAGACCTGATTTATGATCAAAGAACACATGGACATCTACCATTGGACTATATGGGAAGTTTTAAAAGAATAGTTCAACATTTTGGAAAATATCCATATTCATTTATTGGCAGAGAGTTAGATAAGAAATCAATAGCTTATAGCACAAAGACAGAAACATATCTTATTTATATACCATATATCTTGTTTGTTTAATCCATGCAAAAATGATGATGATGATAAAATGATAAAATTGACAATTTGTCATTTTGTGAGTGGTTATGTTCAGGACAATATCTTGTCTTGGACCGGTAATGAGTGGCAGACCCAAGTCACAAGACATTAGTTTTCTAGAAGGTTTGCACAGTGAAAGTATTTCATATCAGATAATATAATTTGGCTCCAGTTCAATAAGTGATTTGCAGACCAGTAGCAGTATTTTGAAATTGATTCTCTTAATTACTGAAAGCCAATACAAAGACTTAGGTGTTGTATGTTCCTATTTCTTTGTTTGATTTGAACTTTGGTGGCTGCATTTTGAACAAAATTTTTGAAGTTGCTCAGGAGCTTTCTTTGATAGACCTGAGAGAATAGTTTAAGATGCTCAAGATGTGTGGATTAAAGTTTTGAGATCCTGTTTAGATAGGAGTCCTCTTAGCAAGTATGACTGCTAAAATTTAAAACCTAATCCCAGCAAACACCCAAATGTCTGGCCTGACTCACAGTTCAGTTTTCTACAAAGACTTAGTGTCAGTGTTGTCAGCATGAGTGTGGTAATTAATGAAGTTGTTTTGAAAATCTGCCTTAATGGCCACAGGCGTGCATCAAACAGGAGGGGGCAAGTGGAGATGAAATAATTCTTACAAGTTGAACCTCAACCAGTTTAGAACAGAATCAGAAAGCCAAGCCTGCCTGGGTTTCAAACCTGTCCACCAAGAGGGAGCGATCAACTGTGTCAAAAGCAGCAGTGAGATCTAATAATAGCAGAATAGAATATTTTGCCTGAACAGTGTTGATTCCAGTGACATTTAGGACCTTAATTAACTTTTCAATTCACGTCTTTTTCTTAATGACATAAAAATATGAAATATCTCATTTACTGTGGAAATACTACTCAATACTGTGGAAACAAAAAAAGATTGTGAGGCATGTAACTTGTGAGTTGAAAAATAATGAGTGAAATTGTATCAGTAGTATTCCAGTATGGGTGTTATCCATTCTGTGTAAATGCAAATGCTTCCTAAATTAATCCATGAATATTTGCAGTATGTACATATGTATGAAACAATGCAATGAACTCAATGAGTTTGCAAATGTCTTACTCAAGGACGAAAAACATTTGAGAGAATTTTTTCTTGTGGGATTTCACAATTTGACAACCACTGGAGGAGAGAGACTCAAGCGAGAAGCAATGGAGCTGGAAAAACATGTTACAGCTCCCTTCGGGCCACGACACATTTGACATGTTTTATCTCAAAATCAAAGAAGTTGTAAGCCTACAGGACATCAGTCCTCTTGTCAGCCATGAACAGTCAGGCCTGATTCATCCCTGATGTGCACTACCAGTCAAAAGATTTAGAAGACTCTTTCATTTTTCCAACTGATTTTTAAATTTACATAATTCAATGTCTTGTTTCTGACATTGAAGCTTTCCAAAAAATAAAAAAACAAAAAAAAATGGTGGACATTTTAAAAACAAGTAATAATTGAATCTTCAACATTGTTGAACCAAATTTCTATCTTATCTGAATTTTTGACTCACCTTCTGTCCAGTTAACACAACTACCAACATCAAATATTTAATGCCACAGCATGTTGTAGAAAACAACAATAGCCTGTAGTTTTGTAATGGAGAAACATCCCAGTCCCACAGTGAAACGACCGCTGTAGCCTGTAGGTAGTGCACATACAGGTTCAGCCATCAAGGTGAACACAGGCTAAGATGTATGTCTGAATTTTGGTGGTTGTTTGTTGGGCTAAAATATTGCTGCAGAACTGAGAAGCTGGCTGAACTTCACTTGAACTTGCTTTGCATGGCAATGTGCTGTCAACGTCGAACAAAATAAGTTGCATACAAGACAGTGATTGGACAAACACCAATCTTAACAATGTGACTTGACACAATTTATGAATGACAGCTCATGGTCACCGCCTGCAGTGCCATGGCATGACGTGTTTCCATCAGCAGCATGTGAAGCAGCAGCCTTAATGTGTCTGTGTGTGTGAGCAGATATCCATCACTACACACAAGTCAGAAATGATCTGTGTGAGATAACAGAGCAGGTGTAAGTGGTTGCAAATTGGATTGTTTTATTATGAAGTACATGGGTCATTTAATGAGTGTCTCTAGATGAGTTTATTTCAGTATTGAAGTAGATCGGTATGAATCACCCAAGCAGCAGTTTGATCCAACTAATTATCCCACTGAGTTGAACCACACACAACACATTTTGGACAATAAAAATATAATTGCTGATGGATAAACAGCACAGAGGTGGGCGAGTTGGAAATAGGTTGCGAGTCTAGTTTGGCCTGTGTGGTTGTGGTAGTTGCATCTCTTACACCATCTGTAAATAGTATCAAGTTAAATAGATTTGGTGATGCAGAGGACCTACTCCTGAGATTGAGAATCAGGGTCTGTTATTTTTGAATGGCATCAAATGTTTCAAGGCCCTTTGTTTATGAGAGACCCAGCTCAGAAACAGAGGAAAAATGTGACCTCTTTGTCAGAAGTAAACATGTACATGTTGTTTGCACACTCCTGTAAACACACAGAATTCATTCTGGACATTTTAATACTTCTTGCTCCAAAGCTGCTGTTTTAATGCATTTTACCCTCCTTCATAGTCTCCACTGAGGAGCAGCGGCAGTGAGTGGTCGCTGTCAGAGCTGGATGTGTTGCTGCTGGCTGGCACCATCGGACACACTCTCAGCTTGGCGGCCAGCAGCTTCGTAGAGGAAGAGCATCAAACTTGGTACTTTCTGCTCAACACCCTCTGCCTCGCCGTCTTCCAGGATGTCTGTCGCAAGTACTTCAGAGAGAAGAACGGCTCAGGAGAAGAAGAAGAGCACATCCTCCCCTCCAAAGACTGCCGTCCCTCTGCTCACCCTAAGGCAGAGATTTGCTCAGAGAAGTGGCTAGCATTAGCCACACCGCCCTTCACTCTGGCCTGCTGCCGGCTGCTGCGCTCTCTCAACCAGACCGGGGTCCAGTGGGCTCATCTTCCTGACGTTGGACATTGGCTGAACAGGTTGGGTTTACCAGTCTTCTAAAATTATAAATATTATAAAAGTGCTACACAAAGCTGAATTAGAGAAACATAAAGTAAAAGTTTCCATAACTATGGAACTCCAAAAAGGCCAATATTAAATAAACAAGTTTATTTTCAAATAACTAATATATGTGGATGAATACAGATATTATTTAGAAAAGAGTATCAATAAATCAATACAGTATGTTCATGAATTATTAAAACTAGTTCAGTTTCATATAGTAGCTGTTTTATTTGTTTATTTAATCGTATTAAAATGCCTTTGTCTAAATATTTTTTTCTCCCAGTGGAAATTCTCTCATTGACATTTTAATGTGACTTTTCATGACAGTGGTGATGTCACCAGTGCCCGCCTCCTCACCCCCCCAGCCTCTTTGAAGGCTGACAACTTCTACCAGATTAGCCAGCTAGCTCCTCTTAGCGGGACCAACAACAATGCCACAATATAGCTAAATCATGTTGTAAATACAGTGAACACACACAATAACTGACCTGTTATTTTATTAGATCTGAACTAACTGATTTTTTGGACACTTAAGGAAAGCACAACAACCTTTAACACAAATACATTAGCACAGTGCTGTTAAATTATCACTTTTCATAGGTGATATGGTGAACGTTCATTCAACATCATTAATTTGGACTTGTGTTTCTTGCTACCTGGAAAAAGTAAGTCAAGTATCCATATATTCATTTAGTTTCCACCAACTCCCGAGGGATTTGTCTGGCACTTTAGCAGCTAATGCTTCACATGTGAAATGTCGTAGCTTTTTCACTTAAAACAACTGCCTGGAGGTGACGACATCGAGAGCAGTGAGCGTGAACCAAAACAATAAAGTTGTTGGGTGTAAAACCAAAACAATGAGCTGAAAGACGCTCTAAAGCCCCAAAGTGCTGAGAGGAAATGTAGGGTCAAGCGATAATTATCATCTTCTCTATTGATAATTCACAAATATTGAGCATATTCAAATCAACAAGGCTAGCAAGCCTAGCTAGGCAGCTGCGTTGGCCTATGAACTTGAATTATATTACTAGGCATCAAAGCAAAGAGTGGGTGTTAACAGCAGCAGCTACCTGGTTGAGTCAGAATTACCTTGGCAGCATTATGATTCCTAAGATGTTCTCCAGGGGAAATATGCGCCGCTGTTTGAATAACAAAAAGAACGGTGTGTCTCCATCTTTAGTATCTCTGAAGTCTTTGGAGTTCCTTATTAAACAACACAAAAGAGCAGGATATATGGAGTGTATCTGAAAGTGGAATTTAGTAGAAAAGCTGATTAATGTATGCATAAATCCTTCTGAGTGCACTGACTCTATGTGTTTTTCTCTTGTTACTCAAGACAAACATTACAGTTTTATCTCCACTGCTGGTGAGGCTCCACAAACAGCCTTCAGTATGTTGTTTGTTCTGACAAACAATATAAACAGTATTGTTGTGGGCTGTAATGAACATGGCGCTGCTTGCAGAGCTGAGGACTATTAGTCTTGTGCTATAGTGTACAGTATATTTGTCTTTTTTATGGGGATATGTGGGAACATGTAGGTGACAGGACATTACAAAAACTCATTTTCCACACAGCTGCAGGTTGAGGGTGAGTGGAGAAAAAAAGATGTGGTGTAAAGCTGAGGTTTTAGTGCAGCACTGAATTGAATAGTCGTCTTTTACTGTTCCGATATTCAGCAATCACATGGGCATAAATTCATAATAAAAAGGCAGGGACACCAATTTGTCTGAAAACAGTAGCCCCCAGTGGACAAGACTGCAATGCAACGACAAGATGTTCAGTTTCCATTTGTCTCTCCACCAACACAAAAGTGTAAGAGATCAATGTAACAAGTTCATTCCTGCTCTCTGGGGAGTATTGAAAGCCATTATGGGAAATATAGGATCTGACCTGCTGGAGTAGCCATAGACGAGGCTGGATGAGTGACATACACAGGGAAATTACACTTGATAACAAAATAATTTGTGTGAACAAGTGTGTTCCTCTGACAGAAATATTTTAAGTTAGTTTTCTGACTGAGAAGCTGACATGATCTTCCACTTAGCATTTTTTAAAGATTGAAAATAGAAGGGAAAATAGTCTTTTGTGATTGCTCAGACTGTAGAAAAATGGTGATTTCTCTGTAAAACTGTGACTGTTTCAGAGCCATTAATATTCTGTCAAGAGCACGGGGCAGAGGGATTATGGTTTGTTCTTTAACATGCATCACATCGTGGAATAGAGATGTGGATTCTGACCTTTTCCCTGTCCAGCGTTGCCCTTTCTTCCTACCTGCACTGCCTGTTGCTTGGATAATGAGATCTAGGTAGCATTACGCCTCGTCTTGTCTCAAAGTACCCGACTTCCACTGCTGTCTGATCCAGCTAACGGCTAAATACACAGCTTCTATTCAACTTTGATATGTCCTTTGAGGTCTTATTTCCTGTCTGTGCTCAGCGCGGTGTAATTTCACACTGTATAGCCTTAAAATCCAGTGAACAATTGAAGGTCCGTGACTCTTTAAAGTTTAAACTACTGCTGGTGGATATGACTGACAGTGTTTTATCTCATCAAAATATTCTCTGTTCCTCAGAAAATACTCCACTTCAAGGTTCAAGCTGTCTTTTTTTTTTTGAATTACTGAATTGAAATCACCTAATTCATTTTCACGCCTCCTATATTTTGGAATAAAATAAGGAAATATATTGAAAACTGTTTACACAGGCATGTTAAATATGAATGAATTTCACTTTCAGATTTCAAAGAGCTCTTTCATATCAGAGTGCAGGGTTTTCTCTTCCCCTCATGACTGTCTGTCTGTTGTGTTTCTCCAGCTCCGAACACAAGATGGTTCTTTCCCTGCTGGCTGCTTTCTGTTTGGTTCTCATCTACCTCCTGGTTCAAAGACGGTGCTCATGGGTCTCAAAGGTAGCCCTCGCCCTCGGACTTCTGGGTGTCTACAGCTACCGGGCGGCTGTCGACAATGTCTTGTTTCCCTGGCAACACTCTGGTCATACTATGTCCAAGTAAGTTTTTTATGGACCCCGGGAGCATGAATTCATTCATCATAACAGTTGGCAAATTGCTGTCTCCTGTTACTGAGCTGATTTAAAGTGCCAGCTTGTGCTGTGATGCAGCTGAGCGTGCAGGCTGCAGTGCTGCATGTGTCATCTGGGGCAAACACTCAGACCCACATCGCAGTAACTGTGATGACAAAGTGCTGTACATTTATTTTTGCTTTTACAGTAAGTCTGCCCTGTCCACTGTACCCTCATGACCTAAATAATGAAATTAACAACATTTAAAGGCATCAAGCAATCTATGACTGTCGATTTAAATTGGCAGCTAGTAAGAATTGCAGCAGTATCGACAGATCCTTTCTCCTCCAACTCAAGTCTCTGACACAGCCAACTTCCCCACTCACTTCTCCTGTCCTCTGTACCTGATGAAAACAAAGTCACATTTTCACAACACAAAGCAGTAAGCTAGCTAATTAGAATAGAGATTGAACAGGGAAAATGAAGAGGTAATATATCACCATGCAGAATATTGGCATAATACTTTGGTAAATTTGCTTTTCATTTGTCTTGAAAATTAGTTTTTTTTTTTTTGTTTGGCTTTGTTTGCCAGTGCTGAGCAGTAAGAAGACCACCACGTGGAGCGTTGGGAAGTTTGTATACACTCCTGTGAGAGCCTCTACATGTGCAAAGTATAGAACAGGATGGACAGTGAGTTTTGAAATTAGAAATCTCAGCAGCTGTTAGTGCTTAATAGCATCTAGAGCCATCATCAGGTCAAAATTATAAATGGTAATGGACTGCACATAGCACTTTTCTAGTCTTATCGACCACTCAGAGCGCTTTACAGTGGAAGCCACGTTCACCCATTCACACATACATCGCTTTTCCCTACACATATACCACTTTTTCTTATCATACATGTACATCCCACAAAATTATATTTGTCCTTTACTTTCGTTTATGGCCAAATACCTGCAAAGTTTTTGCTTAGTTTTGTTATGTTTAGTGCAAATTAGCATGCAAATACATTACGTAAACATGGTAAATACTGCATATTGTACAATATAACTGCTTGACATCAGCATGGTAGCCCTGTCATTGTGACCACGTTAGCATGCTGACGTTAGCATTTAGCTCAAAGCACAGCTCTTTTTTTTTTAAATCCTCAGTTCATCTTGCCACCATTACAACAGTTTGGATTTATTAAACCTGCAGATGCAGGGAAACCCTCGAGGTGAATTCTCTTGGATAAGAATCTCCCCTCCTAGACCCTTCAACCCTAATCAGGCATACTAACTTGATAATCGTATTCATTTTACACATGATAAAACATTTCATCTGATGCATAAGCCTTCAGTATTCAGTGTATTTGGGATATTTTTGTGTCCTTGAACTCAACCTGAATAATTAAAAGTCACATTTAATGTGTCCCTTAAAATATAGACTAGTAGTGTTGAAGTCTGAAGCCTCTTTACACTGTGTATATCTAATCCTTCAGCACAGTCTAATGGCTGTTGTTAGCATTGTCCAAGAAAAGAGAGGAAATCGACAATCCTGCTGCTGTTAAATGTGTTAATTTTTTACTCTGCAGACTGTAGCTTGGCACAGAGTTATCTGCTACTAACCTCCGTCAGAAAATAATGAGTGTGCAGGGCTGCACACAGTTCTCCTGTCTAGTTTTCCTGACCTCCCTTCATCTAGCACCAGTACCTGGCCTCCCCTAACCTTTCCTGTTCTCCTTGGCAGCCTTTCCTACTTGCTCACCTAATTAAAAGCTCAGCCTCTCACCCTTACCCATACAAAGACACCTGAACTAAAGCCATGCAGGGACCCCGGCTCCTTTTGACAAACTGTATGATTGACAAGGCTGACGGTTGACCCAGCCCTTCAGCTTTTTCTTCACACCTCAACGAGTTGATCATTAAGGTGCTCCACCTCAAGGATTTATTTTAGATTTACTCCACACTGTAACTTCTTGGGCAAAGTCTTTATACTGTATGCCTAAGACCAACTTCAGTCTTGTGCAATTGTACTAAAATAGTGCTTTGATTTTAGTTTAATGTAGCTTGCAGCTGCTGAGTTGTTGAAATCAAGCACTGTGGTAAATTTCCCATGGGTCTGATTTTTTTTTTTTTTTTTTGGGTATTTTTAAAGAACCATAAAGTTGAATTTATGATTATTTTAGATACAATATCAAAGCAGTTTCTCTTTCTCTGAAGTGAAAAAAGCCCCAAAATGTTGCACTTTCTCACTTTCTAGCTGCTGTGCTTTTCCCTTCACACTATAATGTGAATATAAAAAGGAATGACTTTGTATAATGACCCTTTTTAAAGTCTGCTCTTCCTGGGTTACTCTTTCTGTGTTTTTATCAGAGTAAAGCCTCTTGACAACTCCCCGGTCCCCTCCTCGGCTTCCCTTTGTACCAACTGCCTAATTGCGCTGTTGCATCTTTCAAAATGGCTAATGGGGTTGAGAACAGCCAACGTTGCTCACTTTAAACGGTTCAAAGAGTTACTTGGATTGATGTCACAGTGGATACGGTTTACTTCTCGCTGTCTGTTTCCCTGTCTCTCCTGCATACACCGTTCCTTATGGCATCAGAAAATGAACCTAAAAATAGACTAGCAGTCAACTGACAGGGCAAGCATGTGCTTTGCATTATTTCTATTGAGTAGGATATTGAAAGAACCCTCAATACTACCTGAGCACTAACAGCATAAAACATCTATAAGGCAAGATACAATCAATTTAACATAAAAGATGAGGCAAATTAAATTTTGTGAACAAGTGTTCAGGAAGTAGCTCAACATCAAAGCAGCCGGCTGAGGGCCAAACCTGTCTGAGCCTGTATGCATCACAGCCATCCCCCTTCTGACTTTATGGCACATTTTCTACCAAACATAAAGCCACAAAGAAGCGTTTACAATGTTTATGTTTTCATTTGTGTGTCTGTGGGCCTCACACCTGCGCAAAACATGACCTATTTTACCATGTACTGCTTTATCTAGAAAGGGGCTGTTGTGCAGGTTCCCAATTTAAAAATATTCATGCATGCCGATCCTGCTTAAAAATGGAAATGTATTCAAACTCGTCTCAAAACACCTGTGAACCCCTGCCACACACACACACACACACACACACACACCCACACACACACACACACACCCACACACACACACACACACCCACACACACACACACACACCCACACCCACCCACATGCACGCATACACACACACACACACACACACACACACATGCACGCATACACACACATAGTCAAAGAGAGAAACACACACACACACGGAATTCAGTTTTCGGTTTTATTACCCAAGAGGTAAAGTATTTTATGATCCTGTTTTAAAAGCAGTTCTGTGTTGGTACAATATATCAGTGGTAACATTTAACAAATTATTATCCTCCACTGACTTCAAAGTATTGTTCACAAAACTGCTTTTGTCTGTGCTTTATCTTTCTACATCACGCTGCTGTTTCACAAAAAAAAAAAAGGTGCTTTTTAATCAAACATAAAGCTGAAGGAAAAGAGACATCAACACATGCTGCCAGCAACACAGGTATCGATCTAGTGCTTTGTTGTGTAATTAGATGTTTTATCTGTTACCATTGTTTTAAAGTCTTCCACTTAGTCTCAGTGGCATTTCAATAGTTGCGACTTAGACATGCTCAGCTGTGTCCCACAGAAAAGGCCGGGGCTCAGACGAAGTGGGCAGGCCCTCCTCGCTCTCAGGCGTCTGCTTCAAAGCTTTTCCTCTGGCAGCGAATTACTTGTTTTGGTTGATTTACTGTAAGTGTTAGCCTGATGCAGGTGATTGATGAAGGGGATACACCAAACATGTTGAGGGGATTAGATGTAGTCTTACCTTTTCTTATTCACTTGCTGGAACACCGGCGCTTGTTTCCAAGGTAACATTATATCCAGGCAGCTCCTGTGTACCACAGCTTGACAAGCCACTATTTTCTGTCCACTGTCACTACTATTAACATTACACAATGCAGCAAATAAGGTTCGACTGGTCATGTAATGTGCAGGATTCTCTAAGGCTTTAAAGCACCTGAACGCCCAGTATGAAGGTTTGTGTGTGTGTGTGTGTGTGTGTGTGTGTGTGTGTGTGTGTGTGTGTGTGTGTGTGTGTGTGTGTGTGTGTGTGTGTGTGTGTGTGTGTCTGTGGTTTAATCGGATTTAATTGACAAGGACAACATAACCATGCAAACCCCCCAAACTGTCTTAATTTCCTTAGATTCAGGTCTTTCTAAATTTTCATTGGTGCAGATTATGACCCTGGCTCAAGTGGCCACAACAAAAGGGAGACACACCGTGGTTAAGATCAGTAAAGAATATTTTTATTAAACCTATTTAAGATCAATCAGTAGTGTGTGGTGTGCACGAGTGAGGTAGGACTTAAAGTATATGCACATATAGCACACTGGGTGCCACAGGTGTTCCAGGTGTACCAATCAGATGCCTGCAGACAAAGGGACACAGATTAGTAAAAGGACCCCAGGGATTATCACAGTGAATAAAAGCACAGAGCTGTGTTCATGGCATGTACGGTACTTTCTGTGCACAATCCCACAATGCAATGCGTCACACTTTAAATATGTGAGAATTACATGTAAAATGATGATGACTCATGAGTGTTTGAAATCTCACTGTAGATCACTGCTCACTATAACCGAGCTACTGAGTGTCTGTTATAATGGGAATACTAAATGAGTGAACGAGGGAGTGATTTTGTGACGTCGCCAATGATGTCCCTCGTGACATCACCTTTTTCCCACCAAGGCCCCTCCCAATTGAAACAAGAGACAAGAGCTCACAGAAACACATACAAAACATTAATCTCTCATGTGAAATGACCAACTGCTCTAACCCCTGGGGAAAATGATATGTCCATGCAGGAGCCCATCGCTCATACTAAGACGCTGAGGGAGAGAATTTGGTTTCAGGATTTTTAATAATATCGATAATCCCTTAAATAAAGTTATGATAATGTGTTCATCATGAAAGAGATACCAGAGAGAATCAGTGTGTGAGTGAGTGGGCTGGAATGTGTTTCAAACACATTTTTAGTCATTTTTAATGTAGACTCACCTGACTAAATAAACTGATTAATAAATGCATTCAGGCTACAGTATTACTGTATCTGCTTTAATGAATGTTTAATGAGCTGCCTTGTTTTATTAATCTGATAGTGGCACAGTGATAGTGAAACAGAACCGAAAACTTGACTCTCTCCAGAGAATTCTTCTCGAATCCACAAGAAATCTCGACAAATGATGCTAAAAAATGCACCCTGAGCATTGTTCTCTATGATAAATGTGCTCCGCTGTAAGACACAGCTGAGCACCATTATCACAACAACTTTGGCCTCTTCTTTGTTATTGTTCTGCAATAAGACTGGGCTCGCTGTGACCTCGGTCAGTGCTAGGTGGTCTGAACTGCAGCCTGCCAAAGGGCAAATAAAAAAATAACAACAATATATCCGAGGAGGGTTGATAGGATTGACGTTGTACTAATGACTTAACAATTACACTAGCTGCTGTCTGACTGGAGTTTCAAGACACTTTGCGTACCACCAACAAATACAAATGCAGCATTATTAACCCAACATTTGCCATAGTTATATGTCGCGATCACTCTGTTGGAAAACTGTGACTTTATTGTTTTTGTCTCTTACAAGCCACAGCGCTTGACGTGGACATAAGGGATGAGAGGGCAGGGACATGAGGGGCTGCAGGAGTCTTTTTTTAGTGTTATTGCAGCTCCTGCTGCCTGCTGCGTGTCTGGAGAGTTGGATGGTAATCATAGATTACATAATACTACCTTAGCTCCATGACTATTCTAATTTGAGTAGAGGTTTTTGAAGAATCTGTTAGCTGCAAAGCTGTGTCATTTAGACTTTTTACTCTAGAGAGAAAGTGTGATTTACTATAATCAGGAGAAGCTTAGAATAACAGCAGCTACTTTTTGGGGGGCTGCAAATAGACAGCAATTGGCCTTTATTTCTTAGACAAGGAGGAGAGCTTGTGCTTTCTGCTTTGAAAATGTCAAAGCAAACAAGATGCCTTTCAGCACTCAGAATTTTGCATGCCACAGTGTTGGGGAAAATGTTTATTGTTTCAGGCTGATGTGGATTAGTCCTGCAGTCTTTCAGAGTACACAGGTTTCAGAAGGGAAGCCATGTAAATCTCATAATTTTTTTCCCCGTCCTTCTTCCCCAGTGTAAAGCATAGTTGTAAGATAACAGCCACATTAAGAGCATGACACAATTCTGGTTGTCAACCACAAACACGTAGGAAAAAACAGAAAGATTAGGTAGTCATTCTGTCGATTTTTCCACCCCACACACTAGTTAACAAGTAAGGCCGGCAGCTCAAATCCATCACTGTCCTCGCATAAAATCAAATCCAGGCCAGGATTTTCCGCTTTTCCTTTGCATAAAATAATGATGAATACAATCCCTGCCATATTGTTCGGGGAGTTGTGAATAATAAAGAATAGTGCTGTATGGAGCACATTACTCTGCTCCTTTCCTCTGTTGGAACAGGTTTCGATAAAACACACTGATTAATAATACATGTCCAATACTTGCTCAACTCCTTCAGGGTCAGCTATTATCCTGTAGTACTCTTCAAGCTTTGACTGCATCCTGCTGCAAAAGAAATGTCCTTTTTACTCTGTGATTACTTTTGACTGAAATGAAACATGTTTCTAATGTCTCACTTTTGAGATTTTCTAAATGTGTAAATAGCTTTTGAACCGCGACTCTTTGAAAATATCACCAGCAGCTACTTTAAATGAATATTGGATACAATTCTGAATATAATCCAGGTTTTTGTAGTCAGTAGGTGTACTGTACTCCTGATGCCTGGGATAATCTTCACATGTTTGAGGAGAATACAATTAAAAACATCGGTTTCCTCAGGCTGTAACTCCATGAAAATTCAGCAGCTCCCTGAACTTCATTAGCTCTTAATGCTCTTCATTCCTCCCCTATCCATTACTAAATAGGATAAATCAGCCTGTCATTGCCACAGCTCGTACCATCCTTTTGTTGTCTGTTTTTTTTTACTTTTTTTTTTATTGTGGCTTAATTAACTCATTATCCTTTTTTGGACAAATATTAAAAACTGTACGTTAATTAAAGAGCAGATTTGAGGAAAAAAGTGTTTTCATTTAAGTTTCGCTGGATAAGAGCATATGCTGAATGCCTGAAAATGGAAATTAGACTAAATGTAATTGCCTTCATAATCGAAAGCACTTTTCCTTTAAAACTTCAATTTGGGACTTTTTGCGCATATAAATTATTGATAGTTGGAAAAGGATTTTTGTGGAGTAAGCCTTTTAGAAAGAGAAGAGCCTCATGGAAACTTTCTTTTAACCTTCTAGTAACTTCAGACTTTAGACGCAGACTCACTGTTGTACGGCACATTACAGTCCATCTTTCAATCTGTATTAAATGTTGTTGACGTGCATTCATATCTTACATAACTTACATTCTCAGAAAAACATTAAGGTGGAAACCTTCTTTTTACTGAACTTGTTGCATTAATTGCTGGAGAAAAAGAGGTCAAGTCCACTAGAAGGAACATTGGATCAAAATAAGTTCTTGTGAATAGAAAACGCTGAGTTGCCAGGTTATTAGACACAGTACATGAAGCTTTACAGTCTAATACTGCAGTAAATCCTCCGTCATGAAGGTTATAATGCTCAGTTTTTGTTGAAACTGTTTTAGCGAGGTGATGATGATCATTTGGAGATTGTAGTTTTTTGGTGCTGTTGTTGTATTGCAATATACTGAGAGGTGCCCCCCCCCATTTACATCAGTGAGGGTAGGCTCAATACTAGAAGCCTCACCTCACATACATCACGGAAGAGTTATTCAGGGACATTGAGCATTTTGAGCATTTCACCACTCAAAATTCAAAATACTCTCTTGTTTTACCACAGATATTATGAATATAAACAAACCTGTTACTTCAACCTGAAAAACATTTGATATATTTCGATTATGGTATAATGGATTATGCCTTTAAAAGTAAAACATCTATCTATCTATCTATCTATCTATCTATCTATCTATCTATCTCTCTCTCTCTCTCTCTCTCTCTCTCTCTCTCTCTCTCTCTCTATGTCCTACATAAGAAAAAATACAGGCTATATATTTTGCTCAGCCTGTTGTATGATTATGCATTTATAAATGAGTGTGTTTCTACAAATGCATTTTTGAAATGTCGAGGAGGAAAAGCAAACCTGCTGTAATGTAATAATAACAGTAGTAGGAGCGTTGTGGCCGTGGCTGCAATACATCAGTGAGTTTTGACATTTCACAGTCTTTAATAGCAACAGACCAAAATTACACCTGTAAAAGTTTTTTACCATTCCAGGGCAGCAGTTGTAAAAATCCTTCTGTAACCTTCAAGAGCAGCCGGTAGTCGGGATCTTTTCACTGCCACTGTTGCTATCCTGTTTTATTATTACCCTTAACTATTTACGATCTGTCGCACTCAATTTAAAAAAAGAGGGTTTTGATCAAATGTCACACAACCTCAAAATGTACCAAAATATGTTACTACGCTGTTTCTAAAATTATAATGATGCAGAACCATCCACAACAGACAGAGTGATGGGTGCGAGAAAGTCTGTTTTCCTGAGGCGATTCATTCTGTCTTCCAGTCTCACACCTTTAATTATTAATGTTACATTGACACACTGCATACCGAATGAAAGAGAGGTTATGAGCTACAGAAATATAAGGAATCCTGTCTAACAAGAGACAGGGATATGAAATTAATTAAAGCAGTGAACTTTGAAAACCTATTATAACAAAGGCTCTGGCTGACGTATACAGAAACACAGTCAGGTATTTTAGGCTGTAGATCAATTCTCATCTGTCATATTAGAAAATGTCTAAATATGAGCTATTGTTTTGAGCCTTATACTTCCTTCTTTGCACTCCTGCTGCTGCTGGTGATGTGAATGCTTGTTTTGGTTCTGTTAACAAGTTTGATTTGATTTGGCTCTTGTCACTTGTTTTACAGCTTCTGTTGACAGCTTTATTTGATAAGAAGAATTATTTTTCATTTATCATTCAGTATATAAAACCTACATTAAATCATTCTTCTAATGTCCCAAAACCTAGCTGTGGATATTTAACTGTGAAATGCATGAACAAGTACAGCACGACTGCCAGAATCCACATCCCAGAGTCACGTACCACAATTACTTGAATATTGAACGCAGAGTTTTGTGGGGGAAAATCAATACTGGCTTACTGCAAATGCAAAAATGACACAGTCTGGAATCTTTCTCTTCTAGGGGAACAGTGGAGGCACGCTTTGTTTATGTCTTCGTTTTGGGCATCCTCTTCACGGGCACCAAGGACCTGCTGCGATCCCAGATCATCACAGCAGATGCCAAACTGAAGAGCAGGGGATTGTGGGAGATTTACAGCGGCTTGGTTTTGTTGGTTTCGCTGTTGTTTCGAGCTCACAACCTGCCAGTGCTGTGCTGCTGCCTGTTGATCCAGACGCTCATGGCTCAGTTTATCTGGAAGAAACTCCACTACGACGCAGCCCAGACCACCATCATGCACTACTGGTTTGGACAGGCCTTCTTTTACTTTCAGGTAAAGAACAATGATCCCGTCAGCGGTAGCGTACGTCTTAACTACGTGTGCTAAAGAGTAATTCAACTGGAAAGCTCTTTCTGTTGCACTTGTAACCACACCCAGCAGTGATGTCACAGGGTCCTGGAGTACACCTGTACATCACTGCTGCCAGGTGACAAGTAAAACCACTTCAGTCAGCGGCTGTTCAGTTACTCTTTTAGTAATGTAGAGTCTGTATGTATTTGAATTCTGAACATCATCAAATGTTTCCTGAGTTGTTGATGTTTCCTCTAAGGCCAGGAACACACTGGATGCGTGGCGTGAGCGTGGCAGCTGCGGCATTTTAGTGATGTTTTCTGCCAAAAAATAAATCAGTAATTGATTTATAATGAAAAGAAATCCAACCTCCCAGTACCCTGCTTCTCCGCAGCCGTTCAGCAACGTCAGCCGCCACGCCCACGTGACGCAGGCAGTGTGTGACTAACCGCAAAACCTCAAAGTAAAATTTCTCCACAGTGTTGCTAATGCATATTACCGTTATTTAAATCTTCAGATTAATAATAATAATAATAATAATAGTAATAAGAACAAATGCAGCAGTGAGGAGCTTAAAGAGGGCTTGACACCAGGACGTTGCCTGGGATACACGTCAACGCTAGCATGTCAGTAGTTGGCTCACAGGTTACAGCAGTTCACCAGCGAGCCTTGAGAAATACCACCAGGCTCTTCCAGATGTACCAGTCCATAACTGTGTGAGGTGAGCAGGGCCTTGTGTTGAGATACTGTTTGTTTCTTAAAAGTCATGTCAGACCCATCGTGATCCTGACATGGTGCATAGTTATAGTTGTCGATCTATCGCGGCTTGTTCCACGTGCGCTGTAGTAAATTATTATATCGTGAGTTAATCACCATGTAATTGTTTTAAGTCGCAAGCCTGAAATTGGCTTTGGCGTTTCGCTTCTCCCGCTCTCTACTATGACTCTCTCCCTCTCACAAACAACACACACCCCCGCCCATCCAGAAAACTCTCCTGGGTGCATGTGTGTGATGTAGGTGAGGCGTGTGTGTTTTTGTATCTGGAGCGGAGGGAACTGCAGAGAGCGAAAGAAGTGAAGCGCCGAAGCGAGTTTCTACATGTTCAGAAACGCTAATTGAAGATGGAGGCGGCTGAATGCACCTTGTTGGTGCTTTGAGCTCTGTTTTAGTCAGGGGTCAAATATAACTTGGTTCTGGTTTCCCTCTCTGTGCACGCAAATGTAAAATTGTTCCAATAGAAGCCACTAATGAATTACCAGTAAACAAGCATGTTTTAATGCAGATACATGTTGCAGGGACTAGAATCATCATGCTGGTGTGATTTATGCATCAAAAGACATTTGAAAATATTGAAATAAATATTGTGCAACCTAGCAATATTATCTTTAGGCCATATCGCCCTGCCTTAATGTCTCTGGCTGAACAGCAGTTGTCTTTGTAAAGGCAGGTGGCACTGTGGCAGGTCTCTAACAGTTGGTTTGTGGGTACTGTAGTTCTAGTTTGCTCTTTTCGTGGGAATTTGTTGACAGTAAGAAAAAATTGAATTTCGCCCATTATATCCATTTAAGCTTTTAATCTCTCCAAAACAAGCTTGACTTTAGTCTGGACCAGTAAAACTGACCCAGCAGTAAATCCATAACACAAGTCTTGCTGTTAAAAATAAATGATTAACAATTACCAGTTTACAAATTACAGCCATTTTAACTTCAACACCCATTGGTGCTGACACCACAAGGACAGAGGTGTGGGGCTGTGTATCAGAGCTAAGATCGCCCCCGCTCACTTCAGCAAAAGGAAGTTCACAGAACAACAGAAAAGTTTTTCTTGTCTGATTGTAAGAGACACCTAATTTAACGCTGTGACACAGAGTGTAGCAACATTTAGGAAAGCTATCACCACTGATAAAGGGTACTGTAATAGGTGCCGTTCTGGGCAGAGGAAGTGTTTGTGTTTAAATTATATTACTTTCATCCAGCGCTGGCATGAAGACCAACTGGACTAGTTGTTTCCTGGGGATGTGTTATGGTGTTATGAGCCATGAATGATCCTCAAAGGCAGATATGATACCTGCCGTTTGATTTAACCTCCACCCAGGACACATATTTGGTTAGCAGCTGTGTATTGTTGTCAACACTGAACTTCCACATCGCTAACAATTTAATAACCCTCATAACCTTTGGGTCATTAATACTGTGATGGGCTCGGGAATAGACCGCCACCAGACAATTTTCAGACTAACCGCCCAGGCATGTAATTACAGACCTTTGAGTAATAATGTTCTCAACAAAGCTGTAACCACAGTGGATCTGTAAAGCTGCGACATATGTGATTTAAAATTGCTGCACTGAAACAAAAACTGTTGTCATGCAGAACAATCAGAATTATGCTGAATTAAAATCTAATCAGCGAGTACAGTTACAGCTGATCAGGGACCTCTAGGTTGTAAGATATTACTGCACAGTCTAGAAAGTAGGCTACCCTTTTCTCTTGTTTTCAGAAGTTTTATTACAAATATTGGCAGAAAGCTGTTGTTTTCGAAGTGTCCTTGCGTTTTTGGCAGCCAAACACACCAAAACACAGGAGGATTGTGGGAAATATTCCAGGTAACCTCACCTGCAGAGACGTCGCTAGTGTCAGGAGAAGGGTTCAATCGTATCACATGATGAATTCACCGTCTCACAGGAGAAGGTTTGGCCGCCTGCGTTCAGCTGTCCTGATCACTTGGAGTGATGAACGAGTCAGACGTTGCAGTGGATTTTCTGTGGATTTATCTCCGTCCCAAAACCAGATGGTCAGTAAAGCAGCAAGAAGGTGTTTATTCTTCAGAAATGAGACAGTTTGTGCAAATGTTCCCACATGAGTAGGGACGAGTCACCCCACGGGTACAAATTCAGATGCAACTTTCTGCAACCTTCTGTAGAAAATATGAATCATCACACGGATGGTTTCAGAGCTCAGAGCTGAAAGGTGGACTCGCATTTAATTAATCTGACAAAAGTAACCGGCGATAAATGTACGAGTTGCAGCAGGTATTTATTTCTGTTTGGTGCACATGAAACAAATTACAGACAGTATTCAGTATTCAGAGTTTTCTGGAATCATTTGTTATCCGTGCTTTTTCTTTCTTGCTTGGCGTACACTCCAGCAAAGAGCTCCATTCGACCAACCTCGCTCTCTGACAGTTGTTATGACAATCGATTTTGTCTGAAATTCATACATAAAACATTTCTTGCTCTCCTGGTTTTTCATAAGTGATGTATTTGTTGATGGTGCAGGATGATATTTGAAAGATCACAGCATGGTTTCAGCAAGAAAGCGAGTAGAAAACATCCGTATGCAGCGACCGACCTGCTCACTGATATTCACTGCCTGTTTGTTAAAAATGGAGCCAGCTGTTAATGTTCTCTTCCTCTGTGATCGGAGATGTCTGCAAGCAAAGTGAGACAAACAGTTACTTGATGTGTTGCAGTTTATTGGTCATCATTGCATTGAAATTTAACAAGAAAACCATCCGTGATCTGTGTTAACGCCCACAGATTTTTCTCCTCATGTGCGTGCGTGTATGGACTAGAACATGAATGCAACAGCCTAACAATCACAATGATTTTTTTAAGGTAATTATCTCTTTTTATTCACAAGGAGGTTGAATTTGTTGTGTAAAACATCAACAAAATGAATACTCATGAGCCAATTTGAAACTTAGTTTGAAAAGATCTGAATGTGCCACCAAGAAATCAGTTTAAGCTCCGGATCGGCCAAGTTTAAACACAAATGAGCTTTAGAACTTAATTTGAAGAAAATTACTTTTATTATGAAGGTTAGGTTACAAAATATTTCTTAGACACTTGATCTGCACTGACCAAAGATCTGACAAAAGAAGTAAAGGTGCAGAACATTTTATTTGTTTTAGTTTTCTTCAATTTAAAAACAGCTATAATGACTCTCACATGCAGGTTGAGCTTGTAATGAAACAACTTTTTAAAAATCTCTAATATGTATTTTAAGGTTTGAGTTGTACTATGTTGTTACATTTGAATCAAGGCTTATTTTCCTTGTGTGAATATATCTATATACATGAGCGTGTACCATTTGTATTATGGCTGTGACTCCTGATTGCATTGCAGTGATAAAATCTCCTAAATCTTGAGATGAAATTTCTGAACAGGAAAGAAGAAAATAAGACAAGGTTAGAGAAGTTTAATGTTTTCGGTTTACTGCGGGCACATTTGGCTTGCATCAGAAATACTGGAAATTGGTTGTTAAATAAACCAGATTTTTTTTTTTTTTTTTTTTTAAAAACAAAGTGTGTGTTCTGGCACATACACATATGCACACATCCACAGCAGCCTGAGTGGCTCTAACAAGAGTCCAGCTCCAGACAGAAAGGTGTGTGTGTGTGTGTGTGTGTGTGTGTGTGTGTGTGTGTGTGTGTGTGTGTGTGTGTGTGTGTGTGTGTGTGTGTGTGTGTGTGTGTCCGTGCTTGTGTGTGCTGCTCTGGTCAGGGACTGGAAAACACAAACAACTGGGCCGCTGGGAGGGCAAAGCTGGAAGCCAGGAGCTCAGAGTAATGATGATAAAGCAAAGGACCAGTTCTTTAAAGCTCTGAAATGCTTACAAAGCTTCACCCACAGATTGTTGTGTACTCTTTTTTTGTCTGTATACAGGGTAAGTTATTCCTGCGCCGCTGGCGATGCTAAAATAAGATTTCTATGTGCTCATGCAGGGCAATTCCAACAACATTGCCACCGTCGACATTTCGGTCGGATTCATTGGACTGGAAAGTTACGTAGAAGCACCTGCCATCTTCTTGACAGCCCTCAACACTTACGCAGGGCCGCTGCTCTGGGCGTGTCACCTCGTCTGCTACCTCAGCTCAGAGAGAGACAGGTAAGTGTCAGTTTAAAAGTCACTCCGTGGCAGTGACGTCCCACCACGGTGTTTGTACTCTTGGGGATGTATGCAGTTTTCTGGGTGAAAAGTTGAACTCATTAACTCAACTAAACAAACTTATATTATTATTTGATTAAAAATATATTCACGTGTGTTAAGGACAAAAAAAACTGCAAAATAAGATGAGAAATTGGTGTCATGCAGATCTTTACTACTATATTTACAATAACCAGTAAGCTGCCCATTAGCCTGAGTCTGAAAACTAGTTGGTATGCGAACAGAGAACTCAAAATACTTAAGTGTAAGTAATGGATCAATGGTTGAAGTAGCTAAAAGTAAAGAAGAAAGAAGTTAAATAATGAAGCTGGCCAGAAGTAAGAGATAAACGGTTGATATAGTTTGCTGAAGTCACAGAAATGGTTGAAGCGTCCAGTTTCTGTCACTCCAAGTAGTAGTTGTATGAATCTCACCGTGAACGAGGAAAACTCAACACTGACAGCTCAATTTTATGAAAACGCTATTGTAATAATAAACCCTTTTTTTTAACATCGACAATTTAAATAACATCCAGTTCAGAATCCATTCATCAAAACACTTTTGGTATATGATGGGTGGAAATTAATTGAAACATACTTCTCTCCGGACCCCAGTAGCTCACCTAGTAGAGCGTGAACCATTAAGGCTGAGTCCAAACCGAATCCGGCCCGGGCCCTTTGCTGCTTGTCATACCCCCCCCTCTCTCTCTCTATCCCCTAAGTTTAGTGTCCGTCTTTCACTGCATCTATCATAATAAAGAATGCCCAAAAAACATACTACTCTCTTTCACTTTGATTTTAAAACAGCTGTGGCAGCACATCCACACAGAATCATTACTATTGCAACGACTTTTCTCTGTGAGGATAGTACAGATGCACAAAAATATTCTGTTAATTGGTCTACTCGTGGCAACAGAGAGTTTGGTTTGCAGGGTATCAAAGATGCATGTAAACAGCTTAACCTGCATAAGACCTAAACTGGAGAGAAGCCACTAGCTTGGTTGGTGTATGTGTGTGAATGCAGCCAATAACTACAGCTTCCCCTCAGCATGGGGCCCCTGCATAGTTCTGAGTGATGAGGTCTGTGCCTGGGCAACAGCTGTCCTGCTGATAGAGCCAAAACTCAGATTCTCTTTTAATGTAGACAAAGGATGGTGTTTGTATAAGAGGAGTTTGTATAACCTGCCTCTGTTCGGCTGCAGCCTTGTGATAAAAAGTCAATACTTTACTATAAAAAAAAACCCTTTTTAATTTTGTCCCATTGAAAGTGGACTGCAGAGGGTATATACATCCATGCATGATTTAGATTCTTAATAATCTTTGATCCCACATCAGAATATGATGTGTTTAACATTTCAGCAGTGCAGACAGTCTCTGATTAAAAAAGTTCTACTCATCTTCAAATTTCTGTGCTGCTCGAGGCAGAGCCTGGGGATGACAAAGTTGATCCATTCATACATCCAACATTTTGGTCCATTGCGGCTCCTGGCTGGCTCGCCATGAAATTTGATGTGGATATTGAAGGTCCCCAGAGAACGACTCTATGATGTTGGTCACCAAGACACTGCAGAAACCTCCCAGATATCCATGAAATTTTCACTGTCAGCACCCCACAATTTCCACTTTTACATAGAAATATCAAAATTTACCCAGGGAAAAGTAAATTTCTAAATCCACTAAGAATAAAGGGGTTAAAAATTCAAAGTGAAGCCACGCTGAGATTGTAGCTACACCACAGCAAACGAGGCAAAGCTGTGGTGTTGAATTTTCTATTGGAAACAACGAAAGCACTTGTGATGAGGAGAAGATAGAAATACAGTAGCAAACTTTGCAGTGACCAGTGACAACATGACACCTGAGATGTGTTGTGTATTTAATGTATTTAAGTTCAAATTGCTGCCTAAAATGTTTCCTCTGAAAAACTAAATTCAGACACAGCATTGATCTTTTTCACGTGAGAACCTAAAGTGCAACAACAATGCAAGCAGGCAATAAATCGCATTTAGACTGACAGGGCGATTGATCCGCCCACAAACAGCCGCTAATGGGAGTTGATGGCGGTGCCTGGCTGCCTTGCCACATTCACTGTGGTTTTACCCCCTGAACAGCCAAATCACCAGGATGTTGTTTGGTGTGAAACGAGGACTGCAGCCTCTAGAGGCCACTGCAGGGACTTTAGCCTTTATCTATGATGCCCTTAAAAGCTAACACCACATTAAATCCAGCTGGTAAACATTACACACTGCATCGCAGTGCTGCACACGTGACCGTCGTTCATTGCTGACATTAGTCATAGCGTGGTGCTTTCCACAGAAACCCCACCTGTAATATCCACACAGAGACTAATGAAAGTCTGAAATAGTAAAAAGTGCAAAGTACAGGAGCTCATTTAAAATTCATTCTGCACCATCAGCAGCTCAACCACAAGGCAAGTACTGGAAATGGCTTTGATCAATAGCTATTCAACGGGTTTCCCTTGACACTGTCGAGCTCGACTGAAAGCAACACCACGGTTTGAAGAGAATGTTTTCATTGTTTTAGTCCACATAATCACAGTAGACCTTCAGGACAGGCTGATCAGGGAACTCATCACAACTTTACTGTCATCATTAAAACTGTCTCTAAAGTCACATACTCTGACGTAAATAGGCATCTGTAGACATAAAAAGCATATTCAGCTCATACCTTTTACTATAAATACTTTGAACTTGATTTTCCAAGAAGCTGCGTCAGCTGTTTGACATTACCTTTGTTGAGAGCGGTGAAAAAGCACAAGCGGTGACAGACTGTTGATCTTTTGTGCAGCTCCCTACTTTGCGGGCTCAAAAGTGAGATGGTTTACTGAAATACAATGTCCTGAAGGACAGTCAGTCATTGCTTCATTTATCCTTCATTTTGCACATTTTGCACATTTGTGAGAGCAGGTAAAGGCTCCATAAAGACCAAAACTACTTTTTTTCCTCTGACTTATGTGCACGGTCATCTTTCTTCTACCCAGCTTGGTCATTTTGTTATGAGTTTCACTTTTTCAACCACACACCCTGGATAAATGACATCAAGCTGAAGTAGAGCTAAGCCTGTTTGTCCCGTCATTCATTTATAAAACTGTGAGAAGATGTCAAAGTGATGTCATGTGACGCATCTATTCCACTGAGAGAACGAAGTCGTTGGCAGGACTGTTTACCCTGCTATCCCACCTGAGAACTCGCACATGAATGTATTAGTAGCTCTTTGAGGTGGGACACAGAAATAAACTTAGTGTGTTTAAAAAAAAAAAAAAAAAAAAAAAAAGCTGCTCTGTGAAAGTAGCCATTAGGTGAGTTTAAATTTTATGTTGATTCACAGAGCATGGTGGGGTGTCTTGCCATCTTTCATCTAAGTTACCATGACAATACAGTGAACAACTTTATGTCTCTTTGTCTGAGGACATGGTGACTTTACTAGTCACACATTCACAAATGAGTCCATTAGGAGAATACAACACATCATACATTTGGGTAAATGTTATCATGCTGTTATCAACAAGAGTTTTGTCTATAAAAGTCTATAAGACCAAAACTGAGTTAATAAAAACTGGGTGTAGTTTTTCAGGTTTGTAATGTCATTTAATCAGATGATGTCAGTTATTCTGCCTCTAAAACTGAGGAGAGCGTAGCAACACCTGCACTCACACCTTTACCTTCTCTATTGCCCACTCCATTCAGAAAAATGTGCATTACTGTTGATTGGTCACCGTTCGATTACATTCTTCACCTCAACATTTGTGCAAGTGTGTGTGTGTGTGTGTGTCAGTGCCTTTTGGTTGAATTTCCACCTCCAAGCTGGATTCCTTCCCATGTCTCCTACTTCATCAGCGTGCCTTCCTTTGTCTTGGGAAAAAGGCTTGAAGTTCCTCCCCCTCAGCTGGGACTCTGCCTGTTTGAATGAACAAGGTCCCTGTGCTAATTCACCCATGTGTTTCAGCGCGTCAGAGATGAAGTGTACACATACACAACTCTTTGTGTATCCGTGTGTGTTTGGTTTTACATCATCATCTCCTAATCTCCTCGCAGCATCCCTCCTCCCATCGTGCAGGTTTTAAAGTCATTTACTTCTTTATCAGAATTTGCCAGCAATCCGCATTATTGTGAGAGGATAATTGGATCAGACTCTTCTCCTGGGTACATGCGTAAGGTAAAATCTCCAGAATGTGAAAATGTGGCCTTCCCTCTGAATCATCAAAAACAATCTGCAGCTTTACTGAATCAACATCATCATGTATCGTTTAGAGAACATAAATCAGCTTAGCATGACCTTGGTTCATATACAAACTTTCCTGTCTTGCTCTACAGGAAGTTTTCCTATTATTGACAGCACAGAGTCGCCTGTTCTGCTCTCTGCAGTGCTTTCCTCCTCTCTGATAAATCCTTTCCCTCTCTGCAGGAGCCCGGTTGCAGTCGGCCATGGTTGCTACTGTTTGGCTCTGCTGCGGTCTGTGCCAGCTGCAGCCTACATTGTGCTGGTAACTGTTCTGCGCTACCATCTCTTCATATGGAGCGTCTTTTCACCCAAATTACTGTACGAGTCCATGCACCTGCTGCTGACTGCGGGAGTCTGTCTCTTCTTCAACACGATGGAGCAGAGCCACAGCTCCAGTAAGTCTTAGGCAGCCAAAGACGCAGATCCTCCATTAAGGAATCCTCTTAAGTGAAAGGGTCGGACGCAATTCTGTTTCTGAGAGACACTTGTAAAGACTGATGCACACTACAATATGCTTATCCTCACTCAGCAACACACTGATCTGTTCACAATACGTGAATAGATGCTTCAGAAAGAGCCCATTCTCTGGACTCTCTGCGTCTGCGTTGCAAAGATGCTTTAAGAAGACACTTATGATGCATTTTTGTGAGCAGTTGATTTAGTATTTCATTCTTTTCAAGGAGAAAATGTTTGCTGATGAGAAATAATTGAATGATGTAAATAAGATTTTCAAGAATAACTTTTTGTTGTGTGTATGTATACACACCACATATTACCTCAGGGACTGGTGTACAGTGAGCCGTAGCAGCGCTACGCAGACAACGGTGCAGAGTTTGATGTTTTGGCTCCATGGGTAATTTAATGACTTTAATACCACAGAGGAGAACATGCTGTGATTATGTTGAGCAGAGTGTAAACATGTGATGTTTGGATGTTTATGGAGCTGAACTCTTTTGATGACAGCCACCAAACTCAAAACACCTTTTTGCCACAGTAGAAAAAGCTCAGGTATTATTAATAAAACTAATGAATTCCATGTAGCTGCTCAGGTTTCAGGGTCCTGGTTTTGTGCCTGTTGGCTCACTGTCACACTGTCATGACTTACTGGGACACTTTAATACAACAGAGCCATTGTTAATATTAATACCTGTGATTTTCCTACTGTGACCAGTCAAAACGTCTGCTGTGCAAAAGGCCTATCGACTAATCGTAAAGGTTTATGAAGTCCTGCTCTAAGAGGAACCAAAAGAGTGAGGGGGCTATCAATCAAGTTGAGTCTGTGCCTGCCCACACCAACAGTATTCACCCCATATTGACTAAATTTATTCATAACACAATTTTCAGTAAATAAAAAAAAACCCATGTACGTAGTCCTCAGTTTAGTCCAGACCTCCAGAATCTAAACCTGGTCCCACTAAAGGAAATGCCACGATGTTTGAATTGCAGCGCATGTTGTAGACCTCAAACTGAAATTTATTCATTCAGTAGCAATTTTAGAGTCTTGGCAAACATGTCTACCTCATATGTCAACTAGAGGTGTGACGCCCATTAAGAACACCAGACACACATTTTTATTTACAGCCTGTTTTATTTCAGTGCATCTCAATGAGGGTTTAGCTGTAGTTATTTCAGGCACAAAATCTGTCTCAGGCAGCACGTAGAGGAGACTCGATGAAATTGGCATACAAACCCAGGAATCAGTTATCAAGTCGTTCCTCGCCATAAATATATTTCATGTATATTTTTCTCCTTCTTACATTTTCTGCTTAATCCTACTGAGGCAGGATGTAAAATCACAAATACTGAGCTCAGTGTTAGAAACAGCCATCATTCATCTGCAGCACTGCTTCAAGAAGATGTGAACCAATTCAGTGCACTCTCCTCTCTGCTTTTGTGTTTTTATCTTTATTCCCCACATTGTTCAGTAGTGGGATGATATTCATGTTTTGCTGAAAGAACATTATTCCAGATATACATTACAATTGTAAATGTGGAACTCGTATAACTTTCAGAATCTGGCAGCGCACTGCAGACTGAGAAACTTCTCTAACTTCTACTCAATCTCTTCCTTCATCACTGAGAATACTTCCAAAGTAAAGCTGGCTATCATCCAAAGCAATAAGAATATGGAGCCAAAAGAGCAAACAATGTGTTGCTGTCCGGGTACTTATGGAGCATACTGTATTATTACAGTGTCTAACTCGCTGCTTGGACTCCATTTTCAAAGTAAAATTAGAAAATGGAAATATAGAGCAGCAGTTACAGTCCAGGTCTCATCAAATGTCATGAACCCGCCCCTTCTGAAACGTCACTTCCTCATGTTTGTTTGTGATATTTGTGTCATAGAAATCCCATACGCAGGAATACGGTCTTTTACTGCAGCGGGATGTTACAAAGTAAGAGTTTAAGCTTCAGCTGCAGCAATTATTTTGTTGCATTATGGGCAACTATCATGTCATTGAACAGCTGTGACTACTTCAAAGCTTCCTGCTGATTATAACCTGTCAGTTCTTACATCATTACCCTTTGGGATTTGTCCAAAAGAAAACAAATCAAGTTGAAAGATTTTAGCGTTAAAGCCACAGTGTGCAACTTTTCACCTCCAGGCAGTAAAGTGAATTGTAAGTTTCCCGCCCCAACACTTGTCACTCACCTTGATGAGCTGTCTGCCTTTAAACAACATCTCGCCTGAGGCTAAGATCGCTGACATCCCCCAAGCCGCCACAGGCGTCAGAGAAGCAGATGCCAAACCAAGAAAGTAGAAAAAAAAACAGCAATGCTGATGTTCAGTGTGTTTTTTTGCAAGATTTTGTCTGATGCAAGACAAGCTTTACGCTTTATTTGGCTGCCGTCGCAGTTGTTGCTGTGGCTCACCTTGACAGGGACAGGGACCTCAACGCCGACTACACCGGCAGAAAATGGAATTTAAATGTCCTGAACAACATTGAAAAGTCAGACAAACAAGAGGATTTCCATTTGAATGGACAGGGTCACTGACAGACATACACTGCATATGGATCACAGCAGGTTAGCTGGTTTGCATCAGAAGCAGGACACATTTAGCTTTGAGGTATCCAGGCTCAAAGCTGAATTGATCCTTTTCTAAATTGGCAGCACACTGTCAAGTGCCTTCCCTCTCTGTGGCTGAATACAGACTCTCACACAGACTTCAGACAAAGGCTGATGGAAATAGTTTGTGAAGCAGATAATCATCTACATCACTCACGAGGATTATTCTGTCAGTGTTCAGTGTGCTTCATATCACTGTGCTTGTCTAATGACCATTGTAACGTCTTGGCAAACTGAAATCTTAAAAGAAAAAGTTCAACATTTTTCCAGACGATCAGAAGAGACTCCAGTAAACCACAACTTGTTGTTTTTACACTTTAGTTTTTGTGTGGTTTATACAAATGAAATTTCACATGCTCTTCGGTGAGATTTGGGACAGGCAGGCTAATTGTTTCCCTTTGTTTCCAGTCTTTATGCTAAGCTAGCGTCATATTTACCATACAGACACAAGATGCTATTGATCTTCTCATCTAGCTCTGTGTTTGTCTTTGTCATGTAAAACAACACACAATGTTTCTTCTTTTTTTTATTATTATTATTATTGTAATTTAAAATGAACAGCGAAACATTTTCTCAGATGGAAATGGATTTTCTGCTCTGAGAGATGAAAATGAATGTTGCTGGTGTTGTTGGTGGACTGCTCGGTGTGTTTTTACAGTGCTGAAGATGAATGATGTTTGATAGAGCAGCGTCCCTCTGCATCTCATCAGCTACGTTGCACTGAAGTGAAAACCCGATAAAGAGTTTGAGAAGCTGCGGTAGTACTTTGAGACGCAGAGTTTGATAATATCATTACAGCGGTGGCAGCGGCAGATTTTCTGCCAGTGGCCAGAACTGTGATTAGTTTTTCTTTGGGTTTTCTGTTGATGAAGTTTGGGTTTCTATAGGGGACTTTCCTGTTTTGTTTTTCATTGTCCATTCATAGATTCTGTTCATTCTAAACAAACCAGAAGTGTAAAAAAGACACTGAGTAGATGTGAAACCTCGTGACTGGAGGCTGAGCCGGTCAGGAGGTCGAGAGTAGAGCCGCAAAAACATTATAGATCATCACTTTGAATGGTGAGAACGGGTGAACAGGGAGTGGTGCCTGGATCAGTCACTGGAGTTAACTGTTTCTCAGCTTACAGAGGAAAAAGTGAATTTTGATCCTGACCTTTTTTCTTTTTTTTTTTTATTGTCTTAAGTGGATTTATTTTTTATTGTAAAACCTCATGGATCCTGTGTAAAACGTGTCTGCAGCGGTGCACGAAGACGCCTCAGAGCAGCTTCTCACAAATCTGATGGGACAACACTTTCTGTGTGAAATCATTCCTCTGTATCCAAATCTCCAACAGCCCATGAAATGGATCAGAATAACTGTAGAATCCGCATGGTTGAAAGATTTTTAGCATGTGTTAGCGATACAGTTTTACATCAGATGAAAAGTGCACTCCTTTCTGTGTGTTTGTGTAGATGTGGGCCTCCAATAGTCCTCACAACATTTTGTTTTAATAGGTTTATTTTGAAGTGTCACTGTTATCAAACCTACTGTTGTCTGTTGGTTTAACTATTGTCAAAGTAAACCTATATCTATATAATGCACCTGTAGGATTTACAGAACAGGTTTTGGGGAGAGTTTTGTTTTTCTTTCTTTCTTTCTTTCTTCGTTTTATAAAATGTCTGATTAAAAGGAAAACACAACCGGCTCAAATCTGTGTTGAATGACTAAGATCTGCGTGTTTTCCATTTCTGGTCGCATCCTACCTGTTGTTTTTATGTAGTTTACAGTAACCATACAGTTCATCCCGTCTAGTATATGGATATGTAATTTTTTTCACCCTGTTTGTTAGCTGTGTTGAACTTGATGAAATCACCTGGGTTCTGATTTCCTGGTGTTTTGGGGTTTTTGGCTTCTTTGTTTTTGTTGCAGAGTTCTGTAACAAATGTGAAATGAAAGAACTATTTACCAAAATAATATTTTTTTTTCAAATCAAGAATCATTCTTGCATTATTTATGTTCCTAACAAAATAAACAAATGGTTTGCTCTGTATCTTTTAAGTTTCTGTCTTCTTTTATTGCCTGTGAAGACTAAAAGGAAAAACGTCCAGAGCCTGATTTTGGTTGAACATTCACATTCTTTAAACATCTTAATAGCCATTCATGCAATATTAGTGATGAGCTGCCCGTTAAATTGTCTCTCAGCTCCGTGCAGCCTGGGTGGAGGCGATCTGTCTGCAGGCCCGGCCCGCTCCCGAGGACGAGTGACATGATGCACTTCTCACTGGAGTTTCTCTTTCTGTCAAAGTTTCCCACTGACTTCATAAAACTGGACAAGAAACCGTGTGTGAAAGTGCACCCAGAGTATCTCCACGTACAATGTAGTAGTAGGAGGATGATAATTCAGTAATCATCCCTCTATCTTCTATCCACCCACTAAATAAGTATTTTATGCCTTCAGGAGCTGGACTTCAATGCCATCATTAAAGCAACGACACATTTCATGCTGTGCTCACTTCTGAGTGGGAGTCTCTCTTAAAACCTCCAAAGTGATGATGCTCTGAAAATGCATTATCGCCTAGAAATGTTGCGAATAAAAACCTGAATTCAATTATTTTTTCATGTTTGTTCAAAACCAAAAATGTCCATGAATGAAGATATTTACCCACGTCCACACGTCACCCAAAATGGCAAAAGGGTGTGTTTTATAAAGTTCAGTATGTTCATTATTGTGTGTTTACTTTGTGACTAAATTCAAACACTGTTCTTCCAGTGCTTGTTTGTGTTATTTTTAACTCTCTTCACATCTTACGTAACATGTTTCCTCATAGTGTAACACACTGCATGAGCTGTGTTTATGCTCCATTCATCCATTTTCCACCGCTCATCAGCTGCAGGTCACGACAGCGACCTTCTTCTTCGCCGTGTCCTCCGGCTCTTCTGCTGGATCCTGAGGCGTTCACAGGCTAAAAGTGATATTAAATCTCTGCAGCAGGTTCTGGGT